TTTTTTTTTTTTTGGGGGGGGGGGGAAGGGGTGAGAGTTTCTTCTGATAGAGATGGGTCTATGGGTATTTTGAAGCTTCCCATTTCAACATTTTTATATATTAAGCTTAATGGATTTTGTGACCCAACTTTGCATGCTGATACTAGTAGTGCCAGTGTGAACATTGTTTTTGGAAACCCAATGGCTGTTTTGGCTGGGGCCATGGTGTGCTACTGGGAGGAGGGAAATGTGATGAGCTCAGGTGTAAATGGGAGTGGTAGTGGATTTTTTGAGTGCTTTGTGTCTGAGAAAGAAAAATGGACAAATTTTAAATTTTTTTTTTGGATAAGATGGATTTGTATTTAATTCCAACAAAAAAGAAAAGTAAGAAGATGGGAGATATGAGAAATGTGAGGAAAAGGAGGGGTCTTAGAGAGCTAAAAAATTACAATTGAGGATTAATTATGAAGGAGGAGGCAGTCGGATTGGGGAGGGAGAGTTAGTTTCTTATGAAGATTGTTAGTTGGAACGTTATAAGGTTGGGGTCTTGGAGGAAGAGAGTTTCAATTAAGGATTTATTTAATAAAGTGAGGCCAGAGATTGTTATATTATTGGAGACTAAGATGGAAGTTATTGATTGAAGACTTGTCAAGAGTGTGGGGAGCGAGGTTTAAGAATTGAGTTTTTCTACCTTTGGTAGGGAGTTCGGGTGGAATTGTTATTATTTGAGATGAAGGGTCCATTGTTGTGGAAAGACTATTGAGGGTGAGTTTTTCATTTCAGTTATGGTTAGACATAGGAATGGGAAGAATGTTGGTTAACTGAGATTTATGGTCTTAATAATTTTCAGATTAGACTACGATTTTGGGATGAATTGACAATTTTGTTTGGGATGAGTAGCCCCTCGTTGGTGTGTGTGGGGGGGGGGGGGGGGTTATAATGTTTTTACATATCCTATGGAAAAATTGAATGAGAGTAGATTGACCAAAAGTATGAGGGATTTTGATAGGTTTATTAGGGAAATCGGAGCTTAGAGACCCTCATTTAGCTAATGGTATGTTTACATAGTCCAACCTTAGGAAAGAACCGGTTTGTAAAAGATTAGATAGATGTTTATACTTTGTTGGGTGAGAGGATTGTTTTCTTGAGATTAGGCAAGAGGCTTTAACTAGGGTTGTGTCTAGCCATTGTCCTGTTGTTTTGGGGATTCTAAATTTAGATGGGGTCCACGACTCTGTGTCCATTTAGATTTGAGAATATGTGGATGGAGCATAGAGGATTTAGAGTCAAGATTAGGAAATAGTGGACGGAGTGTGAGATGCAAGGTTTTGGGGGATATAAGTTCATGAAAAAATTTGAATTTGTGAAACAAAAATTGAAAGTGTGGAATAAAGAACAGTTTGGGGATATTCGTCGCATGAAGAAGGTCATTTTGGATAATATTGATGAAATTGACAAAAAGGAAGCAGAAGGGGGAATTGATGATGAGTTGATAAAGGAGAGGAGAGAGCTTAGGAAGAAATAAGTTTAAGACAAAAAGAAAAGGTTAAGTGGATTCAAGAAGGTGATAATAATTCAAAAAAAAATTCATAGGGTGGCGAATGGTAAAGTAAAGAGGAAAATTATTAATAAGCTAGAGAAGGATAATGACCTGATTGTTGATGAGGAAAACTTGATTGAAAGAGATTGTTGATTTCTTTGTTAATCTTTATTCTGATCATAATGATTGTAGACATATCTTAGAAGGACTTGAGTGGTGTCCTATTGATGGAGATATGATAGAATGGTTATACAAACTTTTTTGACATAGAGGAGATAAAAAAAAAATAATTTTTGAATGTTCTAGGGATAAAGCCCCGGAACCGGATGGATTCACCATGGCTATTTTTCAAGTGTGTTGGGAGGATATTAAAGATGACTTGATAAGGGGTTTTGAAGAGTTTTTTAATAATGGAGTGGTTAATGCAGTTACAAATGCTACATTTATTTGTCTTATACTCAAAAAAGTCAATTTTTTGAAACTGAAGGATGATAGACCTATTAGTCTTATTAAGAGTTTGTGTAAGATTATAGCTAAAGTCTTTTTATTAAGGCTTAGGGAGTGTTTGGGTGTTACTATTTCAAGGTGTCAAGGGGCTTTTGTGAAAGGAAGACAAAGTATGGGTGTGGCTCTTGTAGCTAATGAGTCGGTTGAAGATTATAGAATTAGAGGGAAAGAATGTATTGTTTTAAAAATTGATTTTGAAAAGGCAAACAACCATGTGGATTGGTCTTATTTAGATTTTGTTATTAGAGTGAATGACTTTAGGGATATATGGAGGACATGGATAAAGGGATTTTTTTAGGATCAATGAATTTTTATGTTATCCTAAATAGAAAACCTAGGGGTAAGTTTAAAGCTTCGAGAGGAATTAGACCGGGGATCCCTTGTCACCATTCTTGTTCGCTTTGGTGGAGGATGGGTTGAGTAGGTTAATGGAGAGGGATGAAAGACTAATTTGGTTGAGGGTTTTGTCATAACAAGGGAGAGCATTTTGGTGTCCCATTTGCAGTTTGTAGATGACACAATTTTTTTCTCCTTGGGTGATGAGGAAAAATTTAGAAACTTAGAAAAGATTATTGATGTGTTTGGATTGGTCTCTAGTTTGAAAATAAATATGGAGAAAAACATAATTGTAGGAATTAATTCAAGTCAAGAGAAAATTGAGATTAACTAGAGAGTTGGGATGTTTCGTGGGCAGTTGGCCTTTAAAGTACTTAGGTCTTCCTTTAGTTGGTGACCCGATGTCTGCTACCTTTTGGGATCCTGTTGTTGAAAAGATAGGAAGAAAGTTAGATGAATGGAAGAAAACCATCATTTCTAGTGGGGGGAGGTTGACATTAGTACATTTTGTGCTACAACATATTCTTATTTATTACTTGTCTCTATTTAAGATGCATTGTTTGGTTGTTAGAAGGATTGAAGGGATAATGAGGGACTTTTTAATGGAAGGGAGTGGAGAAGGAAAGAAGGGTCATCTGGTTTCTTGGAATGTGGTCACTTGCCAAAAGTTAAAGGTGGATTGTCACTGGGGAATTTGATGAAAAGAAATTAGGCATTGACTGGAAAATGGCTTTGGAGATTTCCAATAGAGCAAAAGGTGCATTGTGGCGTTCGATTATCAGGAGCAAATATGATTTATAAACTAATGGGTGAAATGTTGAAGGGGTTGAAAGGGCAACTTTTCGGAGTCCATGAAAGTTCGTTTCTCAGGGTTTACTTAATTTTTCTTAAAGAGTAAATTTTAGGATGGGTGATGGGTCTAGGGTTTGGTTTTGGGAGGATATTTGGTGGGGAGAGTCTTCATTTGAGAGTCTTTTTCCTCTACTCTATCTTATCTCTCGTTATCAGGAGGAATACATTGTATCNCAGGGTTTACTTAATTTTTCTTAAAGAGTAAATTTTAGGATGGGTGATGGGTCTAGGGTTCGGTTTTGGGAGGATATTTGGTGGGGAGAGTCTTCATTTGCCAGTCTTTTTCCTCTACTCTATCTTATCTCTCGTTATCAGGAGGAATACATTGTATCTTTTGTCATGTTTTACTCTTCTTCGGTTTTTTGGGATTTTGGTTTTCGTAGAAATCTTAATGCTAGGGAACATTTAGAGCTATTGTTATTTCTTACTATTCTCGATAATGTCACTTCGTCTCAAAATTCTTTGGATAAAAAAGTTTGGATTATTGATTCCTCGGGTGTTTTGTCTTGTAAATCTTACTTCGAATCATTAATTGATGATCCTTCGCTATCATTATTTCATCTATCAGTCAAGATTTGGAATTTTGATGTTCTTCTAAAGGTGCAAGTTTATGCTTGGCTTATTACTCATGGCAAGATTAATACCAGTGATATCCTTCAAAGAAGGTGGCCTAAGACATCTATTTTACCTCAATGGTGTGTTATGTGTAGAGGGGATGGTAAGAGTGTGGATCATATATTTTTGCATTGTCCGATAGCTTTATCACTATGGAATAAATTGTTTGAGCTGGTTGGTCTTTGTTGGCTGTCTCCAAGATTATTCTTTCTATGATTTCTTTGGATTTTTTGGCAATGGGAGGAAGAGGAAGAGGGAAGCCTCTTTGACATTGTGCTCTTTTTGTGATAATTTACATCATATGGATGGAGAGAAATTCGAGAATCTTTGAAGACAAATGAGAAGATGTTGAGGGCTTATGGGATCGACATTATTTTTTAGCTTCATTTTGGGCATCAGTGACTAAGGACTTTGACCATATTCCTTTATTTACATCACAACGAGCTGGATGGCTTCTTGCGGATTTTAACATGGACAATTGTCACGTCTTTTGTTTTTTCTTTTTTTTGTACTATTCATTAGGTTGGACGACTTGTTCACTTTTGATTGATCTTTGTAATGCTTTTTTTTCCAATTATTTATAAAATTTTGTTTCTTAGAAAAAAAAAAAAAAAACCAATACGTCACCTTCTTGAGAGTGTTTGTGCTTCTTAGGTTAGCATTAGCTATAAAAGGTGAAATATAGTTTTTAGATCATTGGCAACATCAGCTTAATGAAAAGCTCATGATGATGCATACGTGCATATGTGGAGACAATGGCCATAAAATTGGGTGTCCTTGAGGGAAGAATTTTGCTCCCTCAATTAAAGGTGGTTGGAGCAGTCCTTGGATTTGTCAAGTTTTGTCCTGAATTTTGGTTGCCTAGGAAAGCAGCTGGAGAGAGAGAGAGAGAGAGAGAGAGAGTACAAGCCATGCACAACAAACTAGATGAGATGACACCAGTGCCTCAAATACAAAAGATACACCAAGCAAACACAGGGAGGTGCTCAACCAGTTGCACCACTGCTAGTGGTAATGTGTGTTAGCATTGCATCAACCTTTCTTTTCTTTATTTTGTCACTTTAGTCCTCTATATGTTACTTGCCACTAGAAGGTTTGATAAACGGCCACCCATGTGCGTGATTGCAAAGGAGTGTCGGGAGAGGAAGAGGCAGAGAGACAAGGAGGGGGGGGGGGGGGGGNGGCGGCCAGGGGGGGGGGGGGGGGGGGGGGGGGGGGGGGGGGGGGGGAAGAGACCAAGGGAGACTAACCTATAATGGCTGTGGGTGATTAGATGCATTTAAATGCGGTTAGAAAGTGAGTTAGTAGTGGTTTGTGGAGAATAAAATAGGAGTATTTTAGATATTTCTGGAGTAGATGCCAAATCGCCTTCTTTCCCTTCATAAATAGTAATAGCTACAGACACCCTCCTGGGCTTGCATGTTATTTGTAAATTTGTTCTCTTCCTTTCTTCTGTTGATGTCCTGCCTGTGGTTCCCATTCTAATTAACTTTTACTTTGCTTACTAATGCAGAATCTTGCCCATGATTCATACTCCTACTACTGTCAACAGCTTGATGATTCAGTTGATGGCAACCATATCAAATTTTCTCCATAGCTAATCGTGGGGCTTTCTTTAATCAATGTTGTTGTTTATATTTGTGTTTTTATTATATTCTTTTCCACAAGTTATAACACACAGGTGGGAATTTGAATGATAATCCCACAACTCCTTTTTTGTAATAGAAGCAACAGGATTATGAAGTCACATGTGGCTTCTGTCTTTTGTTGAGGGAGTTATTTGTAATGAGTGTATTCCATGATTGGCTGCTATGTGTCTGCCCAAACTGGTTCTTGAGCTATGCCACAAAGCAAGTCATCTGTTTGCTTTGCAAGTTGGTTCTGTACCCAATTTTTTTTCCCTTTTTTGTATTGTTAAGTGTTTGTAGGATTTTTTCCCATGCTCTGGATGATAGATAAATGCTCAGCCTTAAACACACCATAGTTGGGCTCCTAGCTCTTGATTAAGACGACAATGCCGAAGCTTTGAAATGCAAATGGCATTTCACGTATGACTTTATGTTTTGTGATTTTCAAAGTTTTACAATCAGTGTTTCGCTAGTGTCATTATGGACATTAGGGTATTGTTATTAGAATGGGCTTTTGAAAGGCTTTCTTATTGGGAGTTTGTTGTTTTAAAACAACTAGTTTTTTTTTTTTTTTTAAACAAATTATAATAATTAGTTGGTGCTATGTTGTATTGTATGTGACATTTAAGCTATATCTTTATTTTATTTGTATTGAATCATTTATTTGCTAACACATTTCTATACTCCAAACATGATTGGCAAGCCCCATTTTGCTAGAACCTTAAAATTTCTCTCTCTCATAGCAAGGGCACCCTTGTCTCCACCACTACACTGCCTCCACCCCCTCCAACGGCATCACCACCTTTTTTTCTCCCTCTTACTCCCCACAACCAAAAACCCACCCCAACCCAACCCCATGCCTCCGCCATCCACCACGACGTACTCCGACCCTCTGTAACTCCCCTCCCCAACATAGACTGTCACCACCTACATCAGCTCCACCACAAGCTAACCCAATCATTTGGCCGAATAACTAACACAATCACCTCCTTGATCCTCCCCCTGTTACCAGTAAGCCAACCACCACCACATGCCCTAACCCCACCATTGTCACCTGCACCAACAACGATACAAACACTGATTCTCCGTTATCTACACCAATTTCAGAGGATGAGGCAGAGATTCGAGAGAGAAGAATTAAAATCCAATACCCGATTCATAATCAAAATCCAATGGCCATTAAGGTCCCTGAAAATCAAGCTGTGCAATCAAACTCAAGACTTTTACTGTGTTGTGTGTGTGCTTTGGTGGAGAGGATGTGTGGGTTCAAGGGAGAGGGGCGTGTAGACATGAAGTGGATAAAGAGAGAAGGAAAAAAGGAAATGAAGAAGAAGATGCATGTTTGGTTTCAAGTGTACTGATGTATAGCTAGAGGGTAATGGTGTTTGGATGCATGGATTATTGTAAAATATCAAAAATGCCCCTAAAGAGCTACGCGTGTTTGGATGCATGGGTTCGATGTTGAAACTTTAGAATTAAAATTTTTAAGGCCTAAAGTTGAACAAGTGATAAACTAAAGGGACGATCAGTGCAATTTAAGCCTAAATTTTGAAGGTAAGCATTACCCAAATACAAAAGTAGCGTCATCCTCCACAAAAGGGATGGTGGGCCTGGTGGCCTTAAAACCCAAATCCTTACTCTTTTCAACACTTCTTAAAGTGTCTGAAGAAGCTTCAAAAGAGAATGAATGGCACATTGAATTTGAAAATAGCATGGCAAAAGTAGGGTTGGCTCTAAGTGTGTAGCAGCGAAGAAGAAGAAGAAGTTTCCTTACATTCATTGCAGAGAGAGAGAGAAAGTGCATTCAATTGTCGGATTGGATAACATGAACAAGTTGAGATGGGCAATGGACGGAGGAGGGTTTTGGGACGTGGACATGTCAACGCCCATAACCCTCGACGGTCTGGCCAGACTGGTCACCGACGACCCAATTCCCTTGGGGTTGTCGAGAGGTGCCAGGCTGTCCAGACCCAAACAGATCGATTTCTTCCAGCGCTTTATGTCCATGCCCTTAGTCCCCTCCTCTTCCTTCGCCGCTCAGGGCTTCTCCATACAACGCGTTCTCTCTTTCCCTTTTGCTGAAACCTGGTACATCTATCTATCTATCTATTTATCATTTTTCCTTCACTCACTTGTAACATTGCTTCGCTCACTTCGTCTTGCATCTGTGAATGTTTGTATTACCAATATGAATAATGGGTGTCAAGCTCAAATTTTATTTTTTGTTTTTTCTTCGATAAAGTATAAATTCCAAGCAATTGTTTTAGCACCTCAATCATTGTTTAGGTCTGGCTGCTTGAAAATTCTCTGGGATTATAAATACAACCTATTCTCCCATTTTTTTGGCATTATTTGTTGTGATAGGTGATTGTTTATGATGCCAACTTTAGACAAAGCTTCAAGATCTCAAACTAAAATTGTGCTATCAATCAATTACATGTCACAGCCATGCTGATCTCTATGGAGTCAATTTTGACTTATTTTTTGATTTCCAAGTCGTGCAGGTTTGCGACTTGGCTTGGCCAATTCAATATGCAGAAGTTTGTGTCTTCTATCAAAGAGAAGGGATTAATGCAACCCTCGGAAGCCTCATGGCTGCAAATCATTGGAAAACACCTTTGCAATAAATCATTGTATGCTGTTGATTTCTGTTCCGAGCTGTTGATAACACCTGATGATACATTGCTTGTTAGTGTAGAAGCATATGGTGATCATCAAACGACACCTCGAAAGAAAGCAGTTTTCCATCACAAGGCAAGCATGTTTGAAATCTTAAATTATAACCTATGCATAGTGCTTGCAAGATGTATGCCCTCATATGAAGGAGATGTAACACTAATTTAAATGAATTCCATTTTCTGAACTATAACTTGTAAATTCGTAATCAAGATCTTACATATTGGCTTATGGGTATGAGTTAGAGATCTGCTGAAATATGCGAGATAACGTTAGAACTTGAAAAATTGGATCCTTGTATGCCACAAAAAAACAGAAGCTAAAGAAATCTTTGTACTGCTCAAATGGTGCATTCTCTGGTCTTTTATTTTATTTCTTGTTTCAAGTTGTTGCCAATGCCACTTTTGTATTCAGTCTGCTACTCTGCTTGTGCACATGCGCATACAGTTTTTATGTATTCAGTATTCACCGATTGTTTTTCACAGTTTCAACAGCAAATGACTCCCATTGAGCATTCTACTTGAGGATTTAACATTTGTGCCTGTGCAGTTCCCACGCCACAATTTGATGGTGGAGGCAGCTTGGCCAGGGCTTTTTATTGACGAGCATGGTACTTACTGGGATGTGCCATTCACAATGGCAATCGATCTGGCATCAATTGCTTCTAACTCTGGTGCAAGCTACCATATGTGCATCAACCAGAATGCGGGTTCACCTAAGAAATTTGAAAGTCAGCCAACTAGTGGTGAGCCACCAAGTGGAGTGCCTGCTACTTTGCTCGCTGGTTTATGTGCCAAAGCTGCATTTTCCTTTAAGAAAAATATAGAGATTTGGAAAAGCAAAGCACCAAAGTTGAAAATGGTGCAACCATATGATATATTCCTCTCTAATCCGCATATTTCAGCATCAGGAATCCTTGGTAAGGCACAGCTTTACTACTTCCGAAATTTCTATATTTTCATGATCCAGGAAGATCTATATGAACTAGATGATTGCCCTTTGGTCTACAACCTACTTGAAGTTAGGCAATGTTACAGAAATAAATTTTATTTTCGTCGATATATAACCTTTGGAACTACTTGAACTTAACATATTTTGCTATTCTTATGAATGATGTGAGAGCATTCATCTGTTGTACCATAATGGCCTAATGTATAATGTACAGCTAGGATTCATGAAGCACGGATGCTCTCAAGAAGAAGGTTGTGTATCCGTGTCTAGTACATGTCGAACATCGACACTCATTGGACACTTTCGGACAAGTGTCTGATACTCTTTTTTTCGTGTTCATAATTAAATGGCAAGATTTTAATTCTGAAAACATGTCCGACACTTCTTTAGACTGTGTCTACTAGTGAACAAGAAACATGTGTTAACAAGTGATTAATAAAGTTTGAAAATTTGACTAATAAGTACCTTGTACTAATAGAGAACATATAGTTATTAAGACTGGACATGTTAAAATTGTATTTAAAATATAATAATAAAAACAAAAGATACATAAAAGATTTAGAAAAAAATAATTGAGAAAATGAGGGCAATCATTTAAATTACATATGTTTGGTACATGTGTACGGAAAAATGATGATTATTGACTATTATGATGTGTTAGTCTAAAAATTCACACTAGATGACTTGACATAACATTTACTTATTATAAAGTATTGGATTTTTTATAAATGATTAATCATTATTACTATATTTGTGATAATTAGATGATTTTTTATATAAAAATTAATTATCTATAGCGTGTCCCCAACGCGACCATGTCCTATTTTGTTTAGAAATGTCGTATTTGTATCTGTATCCGGTTTCAGTATCCGTGCTTCTTAGCGTGGAATTTTCATATATACATCTTTGGCATCCATTTGTTAATTGGTCATAACTTGAGCTTAGGCTTAGTAACAAATATTTGGTTATCAATTGTTCATGCCCACTCTATTAGTTGTCTCTCGATGTTATGCAATCATTATTGTTTTTAAATTTGGCATATTTTTGGCTTTCCTATTTTGTTAATCCTTGATATACGTTTAGTTGTGTGTGTGTACGTGTGTATGTATTTATGTATGTATGAATATTTAGCTCTTTAACTATCTTTATAGGTGCTGTCATTGCTGCATCTCTTGGAGATAATTCAGTTATAGCACAAGTGGAAGATGAAAGACAGGGTTTCAAAGGTTACAGTCTTTGTGCCCGACGAGCAAATTCTGCCATTGTAGCTGATATGTTTGCCTCTGTATCACTTTTAGCACAATATGGAAACTTCCAAAAGCTTTTCCTAGATCTTTCCAGATTCTATGCCCACATGGATTTTCCTTCTGGTTCAAAATTTATTTCAGGCGCCACTTGTTTGGCATATGATCTTTACCACTCGCAAGCACCTTGTCTGGAAGCAGTTGAAGCTATTTGCCCCAAAGTCACACTTTCATTTCAGCAGCAGGTACATTTTTTTAATTTGTAATTCCTGAGCTTGCTTTTTTATGATATGCTTCACATAGATCACATTTAATGTGGACAAAGGAGAGAACATGAAAAGACACAGTTTGCTCAACATTTTGCTCTATTCACGATTGTTCCTTCGCTGCGTAGAAGTCTTAATTGGCCTTATGAGTCAAAATTGCCTGTTTCTATGGGGGTTGGACTTAGTTTAAACACACTTGTTACCTTTATGGTTATTGGTTGTAAACCGCAATGTTATGTTTATGTGATTTTCAAATTCGTAATTGTAACATGATACGTTTCCAAGTAGTTCTTAAGATTAGGTAAACTTGGCCAACGGCTCATTTATCAGACTTTTGTCTTGTTTTGGGCATTTTGGTATTAGAATGTTCTGTCTATTTTAGTTTGTTCTGTGCTGTGAGTCCCAGGGAAAGATCTTGGTTTTTTTTTGTTCTGTTTTTTTTTGTTTTTCTGTTGTGCATGTATAATCTGGCTTCTGATTTTGTTAATGCCATATTGAGACGGGTTAATGATATTTTCTGATTTTGTAATCATGGGGATGACAGATTGCTGGACCTTTCAGTTTCAGAGTAGATTCAGGAGTAGCAATTGATTTGAAGAATAGGGAGTGGCATTTATCTGTGAATAATCCTGTATTTGCAATTGAATATGCATTACAAGTTCTTGGGTCCGCAAAGGCTGTTGCTTGGTATTCTCCAAAGCAGCGAGAATTCATGATGGAGCTTCGTTTTTTCGACAAGTAAACCTCAGTGGCAGTGGTGGGTTCCTAAAGCAAACCGGTTACTGTTTTTTTCACCAATCTCTTGTTTTTGTAGAATCATTTTGGGAAGATGCTGTTATTTTATCCATGATGCAGCTTTACGGTGCTTATATCTTAGAATTAGTCATTGTTCGTGCCTGAATATACGAAATAATAAAAAAATTGGTTAACAATAAATATATTTTTATTTACGCCCAAAATTAAATTATAAACATAGAGGAGTGAAAAATAAATTTAAGAACCGGTTGTAATGAGGTGGCCGATGGTAATAGTGTGGGCAGCAGTGATGGTGGTGAAAGACGGTGATGGTTGTGGTGGGTAGCAATAGTTATGGTGGTGTAGGGTTTCGGGTGATGATGGTGATAGTGACAATTATGAGTGAAGACGGTGGTGATGGTTGGTGTGGGTGGTGGTGGGGTGACGGCGGTTCTGGTTGTGGGCGGTGACAATAGTGGTGGTGGACGACAATGTGATGAGTAATGGTGAATGGAGGTTGTGATAGGTGTGGTGGGAGTGAATCATAGTGAGTGGTGGCGGTAGTGGGTGATGACAGGCGGTGGTGGTAGGTGTGGTGGGAATGGGTGACGATGACGGGTGGTGGTGGGTTGTGGTAGTGGATAGTGGTGGACAACAATAGTAGTGGGATAATGGTGGCAGTGGTGATAAATATAACAATGAAATAACGATGGTGGTGGATGGTGGTAGTGAACGACAGTGGTAGCATTTGGTGGTGGATGATGATGGTGATACGGTAGTGAGGGTGGTGGTGGGGTGACGGCGACGATAGTGTTGGTGGTGGGGGTGGGGCGATGGGGATGGTGTAGTATGAATGATCGTGAGACAGTGACGGTGATGGTGAGGTGGTGACAGCAGAGGTGGTAGGGTGACAACAGTGGTGATGGTAGTGATAGTTATTGGGAGAGGTGGTATGGTAACGACATTAGTGGTGGTGATGGTGGTGATAGTTGGGACGGTGGTAGTGGTTGCGGTGGTGGTGGTGGTGGGACGGTGGTGGTAGTGGTAGTGGTGATGGTGATGGTGATGGGGGCGGTGGTGGGGTGACAGTGGTTGTGGTAGTGGTGATGGTAGTAGGGCGATTGGGGAGGAAGTGGTAGGACTGTTCTAAATACTACTATTTTTTTTTAAAAGTACTTATGAAAAGTTATAAATCGTAGAAATTTTTTTAAAAAATCATCATAAACATATCCTTAGAGACTTATTTTTTTATTAAATTTGGAATATTAATATTAGTCATTTTAAAATAAAATTTAAAGAGATCTTAACTGCGAAAATAAAAAATATATATTTTTTATTTTTTATAATTTGAATTGTATTATATTTTATTATATAGATGTTTTTGTTTGTTAATGAATTTTAGTTATGTGTGAATGTTCTATATTTTGTTTTTTGATTTACGTTTTTAAAAATTAAAAAAAAAATTATGTTTAACAACTATTTTTTATAAGTAATATTCGTGTATACTTAATAATATACTTACATAGGTATACATAAGGTTGGTAATCGAATGAGCTTTAGTTGAGTTTGATAAATTTGTTTCTTAATCGAATTTAAAAAATTGTTCAAGTTTAGTTCGTTTAGGAAACAAGTTGAGCCTGAATGAGCCCAAAACAAGTCGGGCTCGAGTCAAGTTCGAATATTTGCACATAAACGAGTTAAGCTTACCAGGTTTGAGCCAAATTTATAGAGCTTATTTATTAAATTGAGTCTAAAAATTTGTTCAAGTTCGGACTCATTTAAAAAATGAATCAAGCGGAACAAGTTGAATCTAAACCAAACTTGAGTAATTTAGATTGATTAACAACCCTATGTATGCATTTATGTTGTCATTGTATATAAGAGTGTTAAAATATGAAACAATCAATTAATATGACATAATTAATAAATAAATTAAATATGAGTAAAATCAATCGAAAGATATACACAAATATATGTTGATTATATACAAAACTTGACAAGAGTGAAATACTTTTTGACATAAATTTGTTAAGATACGAATGTGTTTAACCCTTAACATAAATATATTTAACCTAACACATGACCGCTCTAAGCTTGTGAGAACAATAAAAGAGTTAAAAAACAACAGATTTCTCACTTTCAACTTGTGAATTGAGTTACTTTTTTGCTCTTAAAAAACTCTTTGGTGCGAACAAACATTACTTTGGGTTTTTTGTTTTTTGCTTAAAGAAATAAAAATAATATGCTAGATTAAAATTAGTTTGAGTTTCAGGTGCTAATCCTCAACTAATTACTCGAAAATCCTCCAATATTTTAATGGTTACACAAGGATCCCACTAGGTTTGTGTAATGTAACAAAGAGAGACAACCTCAATTAATTAGAGTCCCCGCAAGATTTTAACAATGCAAAAAGTGCTATCATAATTCCAATTTCTAATACAAATTGTGGAGTTTTTTTTTTTTTNTTGATAAATTTGTTTCTTAATCGAATTTAAAAAATTGTTCAAGTTTAGTTCGTTTAGGAAACAAGTTGAGCCTGAATGAGCCCAAAACAAGTCGGGCTCGAGTCAAGTTCGAATATTTGCACATAAACGAGTTAAGCTTACCAGGTTTGAGCCAAATTTATAGAGCTTATTTATTAAATTGAGTCTAAAAATTTGTTCAAGTTCGGACTCATTTAAAAAATGAATCAAGCGGAACAAGTTGAATCTAAACCAAACTTGAGTAATTTAGATTGATTAACAACCCTATGTATGCATTTATGTTGTCATTGTATATAAGAGTGTTAAAATATGAAACAATCAATTAATATGACATAATTAATAAATAAATTAAATATGAGTAAAATCAATCGAAAGATATACACAAATATATGTTGATTATATACAAAACTTGACAAGAGTGAAATACTTTTTGACATAAATTTGTTAAGATACGAATGTGTTTAACCCTTAACATAAATATATTTAACCTAACACATGACCGCTCTAAGCTTGTGAGAACAATAAAAGAGTTAAAAAACAACAGATTTCTCACTTTCAACTTGTGAATTGAGTTACTTTTTTGCTCTTAAAAAACTCTTTGGTGCGAACAAACATTACTTTGGGTTTTTTGTTTTTTGCTTAAAGAAATAAAAATAATATGCTAGATTAAAATTAGTTTGAGTTTCAGGTGCTAATCCTCAACTAATTACTCGAAAATCCTCCAATATTTTAATGGTTACACAAGGATCCCACTAGGTTTGTGTAATGTAACAAAGAGAGACAACCTCAATTAATTAGAGTCCCCGCAAGATTTTAACAATGCAAAAAGTGCTATCATAATTCCAATTTCTAATACAAATTGTGGAGTTTTTTTTTTTTTTTTTAAAAAAAATAAATACCGCTAGCATTTCTTTATGTCCTTTTCGTTGAGAATGAATTTGTCATAAACATGGCACCTTACATTTGGTGATGCTATGATGCCTCCCAAAACTAGTTGCTGGGCAATTAGTCGGAAGCCGCAGGTGTTCTTCGTTATACNTTTTTTAAAAAAAATAAATACCGCTAGCATTTCTTTATGTCCTTTTCGTTGAGAATGAATTTGTCATAAACATGGCACCTTACATTTGGTGATGCTATGATGCCTCCCAAAACTAGTTGCTGGGCAATTAGTCGGAAGCCGCAGGTGTTCTTCGTTATACTTGACAGCCACAAGACTGAGACCATGAGGTGGGGCAGACAAGGCATACGTGGCAAGTTCCTTGCGATCACGAGATGACAAAATTCTGGGGACAATATCTGGAGGAATTGCTTCTCTTCCAATTTGAAGCAGCAAAGCCACCTGTAAGAGTAAAATAACATAAGATGTCACCACCTATCTTCCACACAATTCTCATTAACATAATAGCTAATCCCGGGACATTTATTCATAAAATCATGGTCGCAGCCATCAACCCAAATGCAAATCCATTGAACAGATGACACGACAAAATAGTTAAATCTGGGCTGACTTTTGTAAGGAAGAGTCAGAGAATCATATACCATGTTCCGAACTTGTCTGTATAGAAAACCAGACCCTTCAACTTCAAGCTGCAATAGAGGCCCCTAAATAAACAATATGACAAGGGTTAGAACTGAATCCTTCATCCAGGAGCACCTAAAGGATCAAATGAAAAAAACCACCCAGAATCCTTTTTCAGTAATATTCTTGACAATCACCATCTCATTCACATCAAAATGGAAAATATTCTTCACTGGATTTGGTGTACGGTCATTGCGTGAAGTATTAGCGAATGCAGAGAAGTCATGCTTCCCTACAAAATGCTTTGCAGCTTCCCTCATTAGAGCAGCGTTGAGTTTATAAATACTATGGTAAGCAAAATGACGCTGAAATGGGTCCATGGTGCTGTCATTGTATATCTTGTAGTGATAAATCTTGCCTTTCACCGAAAAACGAGCATGAAATTCAGGAACTGCTGGGCTGATTTGTCGAACTCGAATATCAGAAGGAAGAAGACCATTTAGGGCGGCATGAATACTTTCCNAACTTGAGTAATTTAGATTGATTAACAACCCTATGTATGCATTTATGTTGTCATTGTATATAAGAGTGTTAAAATATGAAACAATCAATTAATATGACATAATTAATAAATAAATTAAATATGAGTAAAATCAATCGAAAGATATACACAAATATATGTTGATTATATACAAAACTTGACAAGAGTGAAATACTTTTTGACATAAATTTGTTAAGATACGAATGTGTTTAACCCTTAACATAAATATATTTAACCTAACACATGACCGCTCTAAGCTTGTGAGAACAATAAAAGAGTTAAAAAACAACAGATTTCTCACTTTCAACTTGTGAATTGAGTTACTTTTTTGCTCTTAAAAAACTCTTTGGTGCGAACAAACATTACTTTGGGTTTTTTGTTTTTTGCTTAAAGAAATAAAAATAATATGCTAGATTAAAATTAGTTTGAGTTTCAGGTGCTAATCCTCAACTAATTACTCGAAAATCCTCCAATATTTTAATGGTTACACAAGGATCCCACTAGGTTTGTGTAATGTAACAAAGAGAGACAACCTCAATTAATTAGAGTCCCCGCAAGATTTTAACAATGCAAAAAGTGCTATCATAATTCCAATTTCTAATACAAATTGTGGAGTTTTTTTTTTTTTTTTTAAAAAAAATAAATACCGCTAGCATTTCTTTATGTCCTTTTCGTTGAGAATGAATTTGTCATAAACATGGCACCTTACATTTGGTGATGCTATGATGCCTCCCAAAACTAGTTGCTGGGCAATTAGTCGGAAGCCGCAGGTGTTCTTCGTTATACTTGACAGCCACAAGACTGAGACCATGAGGTGGGGCAGACAAGGCATACGTGGCAAGTTCCTTGCGATCACGAGATGACAAAATTCTGGGGACAATATCTGGAGGAATTGCTTCTCTTCCAATTTGAAGCAGCAAAGCCACCTGTAAGAGTAAAATAACATAAGATGTCACCACCTATCTTCCACACAATTCTCATTAACATAATAGCTAATCCCGGGACATTTATTCATAAAATCATGGTCGCAGCCATCAACCCAAATGCAAATCCATTGAACAGATGACACGACAAAATAGTTAAATCTGGGCTGACTTTTGTAAGGAAGAGTCAGAGAATCATATACCATGTTCCGAACTTGTCTGTATAGAAAACCAGACCCTTCAACTTCAAGCTGCAATAGAGGCCCCTAAATAAACAATATGACAAGGGTTAGAACTGAATCCTTCATCCAGGAGCACCTAAAGGATCAAATGAAAAAAACCACCCAGAATCCTTTTTCAGTAATATTCTTGACAATCACCATCTCATTCACATCAAAATGGAAAATATTCTTCACTGGATTTGGTGTACGGTCATTGCGTGAAGTATTAGCGAATGCAGAGAAGTCATGCTTCCCTACAAAATGCTTTGCAGCTTCCCTCATTAGAGCAGCGTTGAGTTTATAAATACTATGGTAAGCAAAATGACGCTGAAATGGGTCCATGGTGCTGTCATTGTATATCTTGTAGTGATAAATCTTGCCTTTCACCGAAAAACGAGCATGAAATTCAGGAACTGCTGGGCTGATTTGTCGAACTCGAATATCAGAAGGAAGAAGACCATTTAGGGCGGCATGAATACTTTCCAGTCTGTCATAGTTAAAAGGTGTAACAAAGTGGGCCACCTGAAAATTAAAGTCATTTTAAGCCAGTTTGTGTTAGTAATCGCTGGTTCATGCCACAAGCAAGAGGAAGTCACACCTGGCCCCAGGCATGGACTCCTGCATCTGTCCTACTCGCACCAACTAAATGAAGATCCTTCCGTTCAAGTTTCGTGACTCGAGTTAAAGCTTCTTCCACAATGCACTGTATGGTTGGCGGTGAAACTTGATATTGCCAACCTGAAACAGTAATATGCAGCATTCGTGACCACGTAACGGAAATTTCTTTGATTAAATGCAGGGCATAAAATATAGGAGACAGGAATTTAGAAATAACAGCATTTGCAGACTGACAGTAAATTGCATGCAAGGTGAGAATCTTGCTACCTGGGAAGGAGTAGACAGAGAAGATCATTGTAGTGATTAGTGCTACATGTTTCACCCACACCAGGGTGAGTCCATTGGAAGAATCATGAAGAACTTCAGCTTCATGTCGAGACTAGTAATGCAAAAGAGCTAAATGAGGCACCAATAAATATATAATGCTGGCATATATATATCTCGTAGCCCACAGATTGGGAAAAAGGCTCAACCTGGGAATTGCAAGCCTTGAAGCCCAACTTAAAAAAACTCTACACCCACAATTATATCCAGGTGACAGAAAGAGCCTGACAGGCTGTTCTTAGGGGAAAACAACCGAAAAACCTCAACTCATTGGAATTTTTTTTTAAGTATATTTTTTTAGGGGAGGGAGAGGGGATGAAATTAAAACCCGCAACCACTTGCAAGTGAGAGTGAGCCCTTACTGCTGGACTACTCCCTCACCCCTCGACTCATCAGATTCAATCATAAAATAATCTAGAAATGAAGGGGACGAAATGTGTGCTTGTGCATAGATGAATTGACAATAGGATAATTCAATTCTCTTTTGAAGTCGATAAACAAAAGCTTGTTTTAGTCCTAAAAAGGCACAATGAAACTAAATTCAAACTCATGAAACACACCAAAATAAGAAAAAATATATAAAGAAAAACTGTGCATTCATTTGAAATCAACGAGAGACATAAGGAACCTATATATGAGTTAGCTCTTCATAAACAGCCACATTCTAGTACAACAAATTTACTGTCAACAAAAGACAATGTATTAGATCCCTTAATTAACATAAAATAAATGAGTTTTTTGTGCCTTATATATATGAAAGCTGGTCATAAAGAAATTACAGTGACATAAACATGAGTTTTTCATCATTCTTATTATCCACCACATACCTAATCCTAACCAATTATAATCGGATTTGCGGCACATTAAACAAACTACAGATAGTATACATAAAATAAGACCTAGAAATCTAATGACAAAAGCGAGTAACAACATACATACTATCTGTACCTAGAAACTTTCTGTTTTAATATATATAAAAAAAAAATCACCTATATATAGTAAAAGTTGTCAATACAGTTTTTAATTTTGAAATATATATATATATATAAGATTTTAATTTTCTGTAGAATTCAACTCTTACCAATTGGTAAAAATCATTTTAAGTTGTCAGTATATAATTGGTAAAAATCATAGGCCCAAGCAATCATAACACCTGTTTCTATCACCTATATATATATATATATATATATGGAAATCAGCTAGAGAAAATCAGAATACGCATAGAACATAGAAATTAAGATGAGACATAAATAATGAAAGACGAAAACAGAAGAAGAGAAGTATAAACCTGAAAAACGAGTGCCGTCATAAGCTATAACCAAGCGCCATTTGTAATCAGGTACAGTGAGCTTCGCCGACTGATAAGAACGATCCTCTTCCTCGCCCCCGTTGCCACCGCCCAAATTCTGCTCAGCAAATATAGATACAATTTTTTGAGTACATAACCATTTTTTTTTTTTTTTGGGGGGGTAGTTTGTAGTGTATTATTATGTATATATAGGTAGACGCAAACACATGTAAAGTGAAAAAGAAAGAAAGAAAGAAGGTAGCATTACCAAGCTAATGTTGAAAAAGGGGGGAGAAACATTTTTCAGATTAAGAAGAGAGGGAAGGGCAGCAGAGGAGGCGGCATAACCACAATAATAGCTCCTCATAATCTCCTCCTCCTATTCTTACTGTTATCTCATTCGTCGCTCTTCGTTTTCGCTCACCGATTTACGACTTTCACCTTCCACGATAACGCACAACACAACACTCCCCTCCCCTCCCCCTCACCCTCACTCGAAAACTCATATATATTACTGTGTTGCCTTCAACGAGGTCCGTCTGCTATGTGTCGGATGAGCCCAATTTTACCTGATTTACTTCAATTATATATTATTTTATGTTTAATAAATTATGTCTTGTTGTATGGTATATGAATTATCCTATATATAACTATGGATAGAGCTAACTTAAGCAAGGCCCACCCTTAAAATATTTAAATTTGCTCACTCTATATTATTTTTTTATCATATTAAGTTATATAAATATCTAAATTTTGGACATATTAAGGTTATTTTATAATTTTTACCAAAAATTATAAAGTTATTTTAATATATTATACCAATTAGGATCATTATAAGGTTATTTTGAATATGAGTCTATAATAGAATTAAGAGTCATAACTTAAATTTATAGCATTATTTGGATTTTAAAAAATCAAATATAATTATATTTTATTGCCAAGATTGTTCTAATTAGACCAAGTAAGTAACCAAGAGAGCAGGGAGAAAAAGTGATTAATTTAATTGTCCCTTGTGCTATGTAATTTATTTTAATTGATATTTTTTTTAATATTTATAGTTAAATGAGAGATATTTTGTTAATATTAATCATTAATTTATTTTTTTTAACAATTAATTTTAACCGATTAAAATAAGTTACATAGTTTAGAGAGAAAATTAGAATAATTGGAAGGTCAGGNGTGCTATGTAATTTATTTTAATTGATATTTTTTTTAATATTAATCTTTAAATGAGAGATATTTTGTTAATATTAATCATTAATTTATTTTTTTTAACAATTAATTTTAATCGATTAAAATAAGTTACATAGTTTAGAGAGAAAATTAGAATAATTGGAAGGTCAGGGGCAATTTAAAGGAAAGGTCATAGTTTTAGGGGGGATTCATGGGATTTACCCTATAAAATTTGCCCTTAACTTTATGCAGCAATTTCTTCAGTCTGGTCTCAACCAATAGGGAGGCAAGTCAACAATCGAACGGCACGGAGATGAAAGGACCTCTTAGTTAAAGTTACAAGCACAGGCACTGTAGCAGAAACGCCAACGGATCGTACACGCCCTGCTTCTCTCTCTCTCCCGTACCCTGCGTGAACTTTATCTCTCTCTCCATCCCAGTCTATCCCCCACTGCGCCGAGAATGGCAAATCCCGTAGAGAAGAGGACTGATGAGAATGGGGATTGCTCCATCGCAAACTAAGCTTGAAAGGTTCTTTCTCGTTCCTTCCTTCATTAACATTGGGCAGTTTTTAGGTTTATATCTTCAATCTCGTCAATTATGTAATTTCGTGTCTCGGTAAATAAGGTTTCCTTGAACCCCGTCGTGATTTTCCTGAACATAATACCTTTTTGGCCTTGAGAAATTTTATTTTAATGTTTGTTATGATGCCCTGCTGATTTGGGAATTATTGTTTGTGCGGCCATTAGGGTTTTATCCGCGAGCTTTGTATTGCTTACTTATCTGATCCGTGATTTTTTTGTTTCGGTTTTGGGTTTTTTAGTGTCCAAGAGTTTGTAACTTCTCTGTTAATTGTGAACGTAGGTAGTGCTCTCTGTTGTAAATTCGGACTAACCTATTTCGCTGAAAAACTTTAAACTGTTGTTTGAATTGGGTTACACAGCTTCTCCGTGTGAAGTGTTTGGTTCAAGCGTATTCGCTCACTTGGTAGATTTTGGACACAAGATGGCCTCAAAGAAAATAATAGCTATATGCCAATCTGGAGGTGAATTCGTGCCAAATAAAGATGATGGGTCTTTATCATACAATGGTGGGGAGGCGTATGCATTGGATCTTGATCCGCAAGCACAGTTAAGTGATTTCAAGCAGGAACTAGCTGAAACGTTTCAATGTAGTGTCCATGGCATGTCAATCAAGTACTTCCTTCCGGGGAACAAGAAAACTCTTATTACGATATCTAAAGATAAGGACCTCAAACGCATGATTAACTTCTTTAAGGATTCTGACCAAGTGGAGGTTTTTATCATAGCAGAAGAAGCTGCTGCTCGAAATGTTTCAAACATGCCTGCCAGTAGGTACTTACCATTCGCATCCAGCTTAATCCCTACTTTTGCTTTTCGTGGCTATGTTGCCTTCTGTGCACAACTCTAAGGTTCAGTTTTACCCACAATTGCAGTGTTTGTTATCATGTTATGGTCGTTCATGCACATGTTTCTGTTAAAATGAAACTGGTGAAATTTGAAGAACGGCAAGCATGACACTCTGTACCTTTCTGTCGTGCACTGTGATTGTGAACCCAACTGAAGTTTAAACTTATGTGCCAGAGGGACCATGAAATCTAACTTTGCATTGGTTATGATATTATGATGGCACACTTCTTATGCAGGTCAAGCAGGACAACTGTGTCAGAGGCAGTGGTTCTTCCTTCAGCNAACTGGTGAAATTTGAAGAACGGCAAGCATGACACTCTGTACCTTTCTGTCGTGCACTGTGATTGTGAACCCAACTGAAGTTTAAACTTATGTGCCAGAGGGACCATGAAATCTAACTTTGCATTGGTTATGATATTATGATGGCACACTTCTTATGCAGGTCAAGCAGGACAACTGTGTCAGAGGCAGTGGTTCTTCCTTCAGCTGCCCCTATTAATGCAATCCATGCCTATGATCCCATTGATATGGACATAACCTATGAAATCACACCAGGTGGCACTCCTGGTGGCATATATGATAAACATCGTATAGCTGCAACACAGTGGGAGAACACTATTACTGGTGTGGACCAAAGATTTAATAGTTTCAATGAATTCCGTGAAGCTCTGCATAAATACTCAATCGCTCATGGATTTGCTTACAAATATAAGAAAAATGACAGTCACCGTGTAACTGTTAAATGCAAATCCGAAGGTTGCCCATGGAGGATATACGCATCAAGGTTGGCCACAACCCAGTTAATATGTATTAAGAAAATGGGCACAAAGCATACATGCGAAGGAGCTTCTGCAACAGCTGGGTATCGGGCAACGAGGGGATGGGTGGGGAGCATCATAAAAGAGAAGTTGAAAGAATCTCCTCATTACAAGCCAAAAGATATTGCCAGTGACATCAAACGAGAGTATGGCATTCAACTCAATTATTCGCAGGCATGGCGTGCAAAGGAGATTGCAAGGGAGCAGCTTCAGGGATCCTATAAGGAGGCATACAATCTGTTACCTTTTTTCTGTGAGAAGATATTGGAGACTAATCCTGGCAGTCAGGCTACATTCACCACGAAGGAGGACTCTAGCTTCCATCGTTTCTTTGTTTCATTTCATGCTTCAATATCTGGTTTCCAGCAAGGTTGCCGTCCTCTCCTTTTCCTTGATAGCACTCTTCTATTCTCAAGATATCAAGGGATGTTACTGGCCGCTACTGCTGCAGATGGGGATGATGGTGTCTTTCCAGTAGCCTTTGCTGTTGTAGATGAAGAAACCGATGACAACTGGCGGTGGTTTTTGTTGGAATTGAAATCTGCTGTGTCAACGTCTCGACAAATTACATTTATTGCTGATTTCCAAAATGGCTTAAGCGAATCATTACGTGAAATATTTGGTAAAGAATGTTATCATGGTTATTGTCTACGTTACCTTGCTGAGAAACTTAATAAAGATTTGAAGGGGCAATTTTCTCATGAAGCAAGGCGTCTCATGGTTCAAGACCTTTATGCTGCTGCTTATGCGCAGAAACTTGAGGCTTTCGAACAATGTACAGAAAATATAAAAGCTATCTCACCCGAGGCTTACAATTGGGTCATTCGAAGTGAGCCAGATCACTGGGCAAATGCATTTTTTGGAGGTGCACGGTATAACCATATGACATCCAACTTTGGACAACTGTTCTACAGTTGGGTATCAGAGGCAAATGAGTTGCCAATAACTCAGATGGTTGATGTATTACGAGGCAAGATGATGGAGCTGATCTATGAACAAAGGGTTGAGTCCAGTAAGTGGGAGACCAGGCTAACACCATCTATGGAGGAAAAGCTACAGAATGAGATTTCAAAAGCACGTGCGCTTCAAGTGTTACTTGCACACGGTAGTACATTTGAGGTTCGTGGTGAATCTGTTGATATAGTTGACATTGATCACTGGGACTGTAGTTGCAGAGGATGGCAGCTTACTGGATTGCCTTGCTGCCATGCTGTTGCTGTTTTTGAATGCCTTGGTAGGAGCCCTTACGAATACTGCTCCAGGTACTTCACAACTGAGAGTTACCGTCTGACATATGCAGAGTCAATTAACCCCGTACCCAATGTAGAGAAGCCAGCAACAAGTGAACTAACTGAGGTTGCAGTTACGGTTACTCCGCCAACTAAGCGTCCACCTGGCCGGCCGAAGATGAAGCAGGCTGGGTCAGTGGAAGTAATCAAACGCCAACTCCAGTGTAGCAACTGCAAAGGTCTTGGCCACAATAAAAGGACATGCACGTCGGCATCACTGATGTACGTCTCTTAAGCTATATGACTTTTGACAACTATGATTGGCCATTTAGGCTTTGCATGTGATTAAGACAGTTAGTTCTTGTGTGTTTGCAGATCACTTGCGATTTATGTATAATAGTGATCCATGCCTTTTCCCATTATATTCTTTTGTTGAAGATGAAGTTTCCTTTATTTGTAAGATATTATCTCATGGTAGAGTGTCCACAAGTATATATAGAAGTCGGCAACGCATTAGATAGATCATTGACATAGCATATCCTATGTGAGAACATTGATTGTCTTCAGGATCTGATTAAATTGGATGTGATATAGTGAACATAACTACGTGTATTCCATCTAGAATTTAATATGTAATAGGGTTGTATAAATGTTTATTTTTAGGTCAGCGAACAATATTAACCATGTCACTAACTTTTATATTCCTGTATTTTTTAACTATTACGAGTCATCAAGTAAGCAACAGATATTTATTGGGCAGTACCCCGGTACATTTTAGCAGGCCTAGATCTTTAAAAGCCAAACCTGAAGAATATATCATCCATGAATTGCACTTCCTGGGGAAAATTTTGGGCTGAACTGTGTGTTCAGCTCCCATCGACACCGTGTGCAGTCCAATATGTATATTTAGTGTGTCTGCAGCACTCCTGAAAGCCATTACATTGATTCTGCTGCAATGTACAAGAATTTTTAATGAGAATTTATATACTGGGGCTTATAGTATGATCTTCAGAAGCAAGATCTTTTAGCTCGTGTGGTATCTCTCGCAATACAATAAACTAGTGCTGCGCTTAGGCGGGTGGCTAGAGTTGTAGGTTTCATTCTATATTTAGGTACGGCCCTGCTTAAATGCTGATTCGTAAATTACCAAAATGAAATTAGGTATGGTGACGACCATGACCAGTGGTTTCACTTGTTTGGGGTTTTGAAAAAATGATGTTCCTGGCGTCTTTTGTGGCTCTAATGCAAGAAAGGTATTGGTGGTGGGTGGAGGGATGTATGCTGCTAACAGAGGAATGGACTTCTGCATAGCATGACCGTTCCATTAATAAATACCATTTTGACCGTAGGCGGCCAAAATATTGACATTGGAATTATGATTAATGTACAAAGTTATCAAGGAACAATCAATTGTTGGAAAGATAATTTCGTAAAATTGCCCGTCTGGTTTGTAGTTCTTTCATTTTGGATTCAGTTGATTGGCACCTGTGTTTTGGTGGGGCTTGCCTTATGATATGTCTGACACTTCTTTTTAATGTTCACAACGCTGAGAGTTATTTTCAGCAAGCTTGCTCCAGGTATTAGTTACTTTTCTTGGTCACAAGCAGGTAGCACGTGTGGTATATCCTGTCTCTCCAGAAAGAAGAGGACAAGGTTCAAGTGAGTCAAATCCCCTTGGGGAACTGGTGTGTGGCACACTTAGTGGGAAAATATGATAATTTGCACGAACGAGTATGTCTTTTAGGTTATATTTATGTACCTTAAATTTCTTCAAGTTATATGGTTGTATAATTGTTCCTGAAAAATCAATTATTTTTAGCTTTGATATTTAGTAGGAGTAGCATGGAGAATATAATTGAGTTCATCTTTGCCTCATGAGTGTGACTTTGCTTATTTTGTTTTTTGGACTGAATAAAACTACTTTGTGTATTTGTTCTGTAAACAGCGAGGCGAAAGATGATGATGACGACGATGCATCAGATCCTGTACTCTTAACAGCTGAGACGACCGAAGAGACCTGAGGAAAGCACATCTATATTACCTTCTTGTCGAAACTCATTGTAAAACAAACAGGATATAAGGGAAATTCCCAAGATAGATCCTCGCTTAATTCACACAGACGAAGTCTTTTGTAGTTTTATGTTGTTTCATTGGTGAAAACTGTTTGTTTTTATTGTCCTCCACCTTGAAAAATTATGGTAGTCTTGTTTTGTCTTGATAGGAGGGTAGTGATGTAGTAGTTTTTCTCACTGCTAATTTGGTAGGATTTGGTGCACACTCGTGGCTTTTATGCTGTTATTCGGTTAAGCTATTAATTGTCAGGATTGCTGTTGTAACTTTTGTATTTGATGCTCGTGACATGAAAATTTAGGAGCAGAACCATATGCTTTCTGTCATTTATGGATTTTGGTTGATCCTCGTGGCTATATATATATATANTTTGTATTTGATGCTCGTGACATGAAAATTTAGGAGCAGAACCATATGCTTTCTGTCATTTATGGATTTTGGTTGATCCTCGTGGCTATATATATATATATATATACATATATATCTCCTCTCCTCTATATTAAGTACTAACATCACAGTTGAAATTTGTTTACTTGTGAGGTGAACCCAACTCAACTGCTAGGTGAACCCCCCGCCCCACAACTCTTCTTTATTTGTATTTCCATGTGGGGGGACGATATGTGTTTTTCAAATCCCTGTCTGGGGCCAGTGGTAAGTGGAAACCAATCAAGCACGGAGACGAGGTACGATATAGATACAGTGATACGATAAAATCTAAAAAAGTAAGATACAGATACGGCTAAAATACGGTTATAATAAAATATATTTAATATTTTTATTATTTTCAACCAGCTTAATACTTATGTATTTTGGTAATTTTTTAATATACAATAAAGAAAATTATTAATTTTTTTTAGTTTCAAGAAAATAAATATTGCATCGTTGTAGTATATTTACAAAGTGAAGTGATTAATTGGAGGAATTAAAACTAATATTTAGAAGTAAATTTTACTAAGATAATAATGTAATAGCTTTATATTATGCTATTTTGACGTGTAATTGTAAATAATACTTAAGAAACACTCATGTGTTTTTGAAGTAATATGAATTTTTTGTTAATGTATTGTATGGTATGTGAATTCGAAAAAAGATGTTAAAAGTTCAACTCAAAAATTATATATGTTGTTTGACCACAAAAGTATCCGTGAAGTATCATAATATTTAATTATTATTAGATACGTAAAAGGTGTATCGGATACACCTTCTATGTATCCTCAAGTATTTGACGAGTATCATATCCGATACGATATCGGATACGAGTATGTCAACCTCAACGAAATATCTGTACTTTTTAGGTGGTAACTCTATTCTATTGCTCTTTTGAAAGACAGAAGACGGAAGTATGCTAAACAAAATTTTTTATCGTAAGTGATGTGGTACAGTTTTTATCATCAAATACGTGAGTTTCATTAATTTTGAATGATGCTACGTCACTTGTGATAAAAAACTTGGTAAGCATAAATAACAAGGTCGAGAAAATCAATGCTAAAAGTTTGAAAGATTGTTTAGCATATTAAGCTCCAAACCAAAAAGTATAATTAATTTTTCTAATATTACAACTAGAAAATTGAATTATCAACTTATAAAATTACAAAACAATTAAGATTAATTCAGTTTTTATCTATTTTAATTTAATGGTACAAATTTTTTTCTCGTCCAAAAACATCAATTTTTTTGCACGGTCTTCAATATCAGACAATTCAATCAACATATTTTTTAATGTCAAATAATTTCATCAATATCTTATCTCTTTCTTTATTTTAATTTTAAATTACGTAATTAAAAAATTAAATTATTATTTAAAATATAAAAATTGCAGGATTAATGTTCCATCTATTTTTTGTATGTCAGGGAGATATATCTTGAGAGGGTATTGATATTCCCGGAGAGGAGTTACAAAGTGACACATGGAATATGAACAAGTGATACATGTGTAGCTTATAATGGGTACTACACCCCACATGTTGGCCACGTCGCATGCCACTCATCGCCTTCCTTCCAGCCCACCCACAGCTTAGACAACCTCTTCTTCTTCAAACACCTCTCTCCCCACCTACATATCGCACCGCCGTCTTGATCTCACTACTTTTTGTTCCGTTGCGTTTCGGTAGTGGATAGCAACTTTCTGTTACTTTTGTTTCTCGGTGATCACGCCGCCGCATTGTTGTGTATCTCAGACCTCGCTGTTTGCAAGCAAGTTGCTTATTTATTTGATAATATGTATGTACCTATGGCTTTGCGAAGGACTTCTACTGGGTTACTCACATGGAACGTGGTCCTTTCCATGGCGGTGGCGCTGATGCTGGTGTTGCTTGTTGTCAGTGGCAGTGGCACCGGCGTTGGTGATGTTTTCAAAGGCCACGACCAATATGAGGAGCCGGCAAAAGGAAAGACTGAACAAGCTGGGGAGAAAGCTGCAGCGATGGGAAAGGAGGCTAAAGAGACTTCGGAGTCATGGACTGAGTGGGCCAAGGAAAAAATCACTGAAGCAGTTGGGTTGAAGGCTGATGAAGCTAAAGAGAAAGCAGAGCAGGCTTCTGGTGCGGCCAAGAAGAGCAAAGAAAAGATTACAGAAACAGCTTCTGGTCAGTGTACCATGTATATCAATCCAACCGAATCGTTCTACTTTCCATGAAATTGGTGGTGTTACTTTTATTTTGTTGTTTGATAGACAATTCTATTCTAATTATTAATCTGGCTCAATAATTGCTTGCATGGGGCAGGAGCGGGAGACAAGGCTGAAGATATGAAGAATGCAGCCCCAGCCAAAGAAACAGCATCTCAGAAGGTTGATGAGGCAAAGGAAAGGGCATATGAGGCGGCTGAGGAGGCAAGAGAGAAGGCATCGCACAAGGCCAAAAGTGCAGGGGAAGAAGGGGAGAAGAAAGAAGACCAAGCAGAGGAGCACCTGAGTTGGGCGAAGGAGAAAGCTAAGGAGGCTTTTGAAGCTGCCAAAAGCAAAGCTGAAGAGACACTCGAGTCTTCCAAGGAGAAGATTACATCTAACTACGAGGCTGCAAAGAAAAAAACACAGGATATGGAAGAGAATATTGCCACAGGAAATCAATATCATGATGAGGAACTCTAATTCAGATGTGCCATTGCCATGCATATGATGACAACAACTACTTTTCCCCCTCCTCTATCCCCTGATGACCCCACTTGAGTTTTGTACAAATGGTTACATAGTTGTTTCTACATGTTTTCTCATCCATCTCTCTTTTACTTTTTAAGTGCTTCAGCACAGTATATTTGCTTGTACCGAGTATGAACAAGAATGGTCTGCTTCTTGTTTTCGTATCAGAATGACAACAATAAATTCCCACAATGGGATGCAATTTTTAGGTTTTAATCACGGGGGATTATTCCTAATAAAACATGTTCAATGTGAATTGAATATATGCTCAGGACAGTCAGAAAGAGAGGGAAGCCAAAGCAATTACTTTGTTGGTTCAATGTAATTATGATTAACAAGTACACACTAAATTTATGATAATATTTTCAAATTCGGAAAATTAATCTGTGGAATAGGGAACTACTTTTCACATATTTACTCTAAAAAAGCATTTTCAAGTTAATCTAGTTACCAATAAATCATAATAGAGATACAATGTTAATGGTACAGTGGAACATACATATAACTATATACAGTGCGGACACGTCATTTACATGGTCTAAAAGGGAAGTTTGAAAGAACCCTTTGCAGCACATAGCAGTTACCTGCATTCAAGTAAGCAAGACTACTTAACAGCAATCCTTTCTCCAAGCTCTTTACTGTATGACTGAATCAACCCGTTGCTATCCGCCATTTGAATCTTCTCATTCAACAACGTCTTGTATTGACCATCCTTACATTCTAGACTGCGCATCAGTTCAACCTAGGAAACAGAGACCACCTTCATAACCAAACAGAACAGAAGAAATCATAAAATACTGAAAGTAGATAGATAGAGACACAGATGTCATTAAAGACAAGACAACAATAGCACAATCCAGATCACTATATTTGTAGAATAACCTCTTCCTGCATGTACACTCTACTAACCGTATAATATTTTACATGTTCATTAGCGGAAGGGGTTTTACAATTTCCCTTGTCCCTTTTTCACCCGACAATACACAAGGTAACTTCCATTATTCTTTATTTTCTCGCTTAACTACATATAGTTACTGGGAGAAAAGATTGTGTGGCACGAGGGGCAACACATCGGTTGCTGCCGATGAAAAGTACATGCAATGCTGGACCAGAACGAGGAAAAAATGAGACAAGTAATCCAGGTCAAATGCAAATCTTTGACCCCAGTTCCCCTAGTTTACTACCATACCTTCTGAGTCGAGTTACATGCTCAACTACAATGGGCAGCTTTTGTAGCATGGTAAGCAATACAAAAAAGATAGGCGTATAGGTGACCAGAATATGGATTACGAAAAATTCAAGCAAATGGCTATGGCCTCTCAGTTTACTACTGTCCACTGGGCGTTATGGTTCAGGTTTGTTGAGAATTTAAGAGTCATGATGCTATGACGCCTCTATGTTTACATCACTTGAGAATTAACTCACAACCAGGAAACTACCAATTTTGGCTTCATGATTAGTTTCATCATAATAAGCATTGGGCAGTGTATACCTGCTTTTGAAACATATCAAATTCATCAGAGCTCAGAGAACCATCACTGTTTGAATCAAGGAGTTGCATCATTTCCCGGGCATCATCCCCTTGGGCACCAAGTTCTTCCATTACTTCCATAAGTTCCTCAATGCTGATCTTACCATCTCCATTCTTGTCAAGCAGGCGGAATACTCGATCCCTATGATCAATTTCAAGACCTTTGTGATTTGTGGAAGGAAGATCTTTAAGACGCACTGCTGCAAACTCAGCTGCAGCCAACATAATCGCCTTGAGCCGCTTTGCCTGTGCAGTAGCAAATTAAAAAGAAAAAAAAAACCATTTCAGCTTTTAAAAAAAACGTGAACTATAGAATTCACTCACGCAATAAATGCATAAATGCATAAATGCATATTGAACAGTCTGCTGCAACTCCACTAAACACTACCACCGCCAGACAAAAAAAAAATCACAATATATATGATGCAATGAAAAAGAAATGAAATTTCTAAGGTGCATAAAAGGATTTAACAACAGAATCTTGTTTATGGAGTTTAAAGTGTAATAGATTCTGTGTAGTTCTAATCTTATTCTTACCTCAATAACTTTCTAGATCTTCATCACAATCAACCATAAAATATCTATGAGAATTAAAATTTTAGCCTTAATGTGATGAAATTAAAATCCAGATTGTATATGACATAACAGAGTTCTTACCTCTTCGGGATTGGTAAGACCACCCTTGTACAATGCGTGGGATGCTGTGCCACCAGCAGCCAACATATCCATCTGCTTTGTCCGTATTTGTATTTCCATTAGTGGCCTAGTACTACCATTTTCACTGATATCAACTGCCATGTGCAAGCTCTTATATCCATTTGCTTTGGGTCTGGCAATATAGTCTTTTGACCTGTTAGGAATCTCTTTCCACAAAGATTGGATAATTTTTTGCGTCCTGTAGCATGCTTTCTCACCCACTTCCAATTTATTTACTTCAGAAGCAGGATTCAGTATGACCCGCAATCCCAAGATGTCATACACTTCTTCAGGCTTGCGGGCATCTCTCAGAAGTTTCTTCATGGTGCTATAACGACTTTTATAGCGACCTTCAACTGAGATATCACCCACCATGTCTGCTAACAATGAATCAGACCTCAATGATTGAATCAGCTGTTCCTTGTATATGTCAATAAGAGGCTTGCCTCCTGTTTCATGGCTCCTCAACCATGCATCAACATAGAGGTATGAATAAGGAAACAAGTAGCGGAATGAGAGATCTTCCAGTTCCAAGGATAAACAGTTGGTTCCAACAGCATGTGCTAAAGGAGCATGTATCTTCATAACCTCGAGAGAAAGAATTTGCTGCTGGTATCTTGGCCCGTAATCAAGATGTCTCATCATATCAAGCTTGAAAGCGAGGTCTAGAATCAAAGCCCTGACATCATAATACGTCAGACAGAATTTCCTCAAAGCAGCAGCACTATCATCATCCAATATTTCCACTTTTGAAGAGATGTTCTTCAGACGCAAGCTTTCATGCAACAGATGAGATGTACTGATACCGATCTGATCTCTCACTTCATATATGGATATGGCACCTGCCTCCAGGACTACTCTCAGTATACCGGCTGAAATAACTTCAGCATCCATCTACAGGCACATACATTGTGAATACTTAAATAGCTACAAAAATTAAAAAAGAAAAACACATTAAAGGACTGTCCATCTATATTCATCTCACATTTTCTAAGGATTCTACACGTGCCGATTAAAGGGAATTTTGTTCAAAGAACAAGCACTAAAATAAGAGTTCCCGTCAAAAGGTACATAAGTGACGGACCCGAGTAAGAAGTTCCCAGAACATTAAATGGGTTCCGAGGATGTTGGAAAGCCTGGTGGGTGCAGACTTAGTTTCAGATTTCTTCACATGGAGTGGATACATACTACAGGGAGACACAGGATGTAAACTAGTGGATTAATGTTATATATGTACCATTAAAAGAACTTAGATGTGGTACTTCTTTCCTCTGTGTGTGCCGTAAAAATGAACTGAGCTGGCCATGAACATCTCCGAATTGTGTCGAGCCCAAACAATGTCTTGTTCAACTCGTCAGGCTCTTAAGGAACCAGTTTGGCCATTTGACAATGGAATTATATTCACCGTAGTGGCTTATACTACATTTTCCAAGCAATGCAAACAAAATCTGTTTCTAGTTGGCTAGAAATCCAACATCGAAACAATGGAAACAAAGAGAAGTGATGCTAAATAAAAAGGGACTTGGCTGAAATGAATCCCTCATTGAACTATACATAAATGATAGGCATGGAGCACATTATCAAATAGGACTTTGGAAACCTTTCCGTGGCCTGTGGGCAACTGTGCATGGCAAAAATAATCCAGCTCGTAAACTTCTAACCAAGCCGAGTCCGAGTTCATTTTAACTGTTGATGAGATGAATTTGAACAACTTCTTTAAAACACGTCATGATCGCAAGCCAATCCCTGACATTCTTCGAAAATGGATGAGCCAAGTTTAAATAGTTCAAAACTCAGCTCGATATGTAATTGTTGAAGAGAAACCCTTTTGACATTAATGTAATTATGTACACCATTGCTAGGGCAAGGGCCAGATGAGTTGTCTACCATATCCCCAGTTAGAGGAAATGATGGGGTGTGCAAAGTTCTATCTCAGATGAAAAGGTGTTTGACTCGCACTAAGGAGGCAAAAGAACTAAAGACATCACAATACTATAGAAACCACGAGAGTCAGACGCAATGGAATGGACACACAATTGTTCTCCGGATTACAAATTTATGAATGTTCAGAAATTCCGGTAGTCATCTGATCAAATGATTTTCAATCCCAGAATGTTTATTTTTATAACAATTCTGAATCCTTAACAAATTGGAACAAAGAATAATATTTTTAAAAACTTGAAAACATTTTGAATTGTTTCTTCTTAAACTCACGAGAGGGGAAATAAAGGCATAACGAGTAACAATAAATTTAAGTTAACTTCTTTAACACCTAGGCCTAATAGGTGCATAAGGTTCAGATGTAGGAATTAGGATCGAAAGAAGACATTAGGCTGATCATTCTACAGAACTAATGCTTAGCATTAATCGTTGCATAAATGAATCATTAAGCATTTGATATGACTCTTTTGAAGTGAGTTTTTACTTTCTAGCTTCCGATCCAAAAGGCAAAAAATATCATTCATTTTAACTATATTCACGGGCCATGGCAATTCTTATAAAACAATCTGGCGAACAATGTTCTGTCTGTAACATATTCTAAATTCAATCTAACATAAATCATAAAGTGGTGTCTTAAAATAAAATTAAAATGCTATTACATAGTCCTGGACTTGCAGGAGAGTGATATGAAGCAGTACCTGAAGGTCGGCGAGAATGACGGCGACCGATAAGGCCTTAGAGAGAGGAGAGCGACCATCTGCACCGAGAGACAGTGTTTGCAAGATGGGGATGGAAAGCTTGAGAGACTTGAAGAGCAATCGTGAGGAGCTGGTAGACAACACGTTCATGTTCATTCTCTCTGTGAGCTCATTGAACGCTCCGACGAGTTCTACCACCATCTTCCCTCCCGGCTGTTCCAGGGACGTTACACTGGCGGATACTCTGAGGCCGGCGACGGAGACAAAACGGCGGCTCTGTCTTCGAAGAATTGGATGGACAATTGAGAGGGATGAATACGCTGGAAACCTAATTTTGGGGACTAAAGCAGTTGGATGATCGGTGTGGGCATAGAGCTCCATTGTTACCTGTTCCCACACTGCACACCCGACCAGACCAGAGTGAGCGAGTGGTTAAGACTAGAGGGAGGCCACGTAGGATAGAGAGCATAGGTCCCACCGCCTGATGAGTAAATATTGTGGGGAACTGTTATACTGTGTTAATAATATTTAGGTGGTATAATTATTTAATAAAAAATTATAAAATAAATAAAATAAGACTTATTTTTCTTTCATTGATGTGGTTATATATTACGTGACCAGATGATTTATGAATTTTGTGGAGATTGATGAGCTCATATCTAATTGGTGCAAGACCAATTTATGGAATAAGTCCAAATTAATTGAAAAACATATCAGGTATAGCTCATAGTCTTAGCTCAGTCCAAAGTTAAAAAACTCAAAAAGATCAACGTACATGAGAAGTAATTATCGAGATAAACACTGCTCGAAGAATAAAACTATTTTTAGTTATAGTTATCCTCCTCGAAAAACTTGTAACTTATCCTCTACGCCACCGCCTCAACAAAGGCTATATGTCATCTCTCACACAACTATCTCTTTCATATAGTTACCTCACCACACCTAAAGCTTGTTTGTGTTCTCTATCTCATCCTCTACTTTATTAATAAAGTTCTCCGGCTATCGTCGTTATTTTCAGTGGTTAGGTCACCTCAGTCCAATCACTCCATCTTTTTCTTTTTATCATTCGTTGTTTCATTAATTACCCTATATCATATATTGTGTGCATAAATCCACTTTTGTGCATCATCAGTTTGACGTCATCTGTAAAAAATGATTAAGTTTTCTACTATTTGTCAATTTTCATCCTAACCTCTTTCAAATTCATGATAATCACAATCAGATCGATGAACCAACAATCAAAGGATAACGACCCATCTCGTCGAGATGAGACTCCGCCTCCCCCTCCACCAACGTAACCATCCATTTACGACATATCCTGTGGTCAGACAATAGATTTTGGAGACCATACAGTTATTGGTGAGTCAAAACTAGTAAATTCTCCAACTGATTCTTACCTCAAGAGGCATCGCCCCACAACTTGCAGGAGGAGTAGCACTCCTCCAACAGGAGAGGTCCCACTGTTTCTCCACTCAAGGCGCCAAGGCATCCCCCAACGTGGCGCCCAACGCCAGGGTGCTCCCATGCAACGCCCTGGTGCTCCTCGTCAAGGAGTCCCTCCTTATCATCTAAGCACCCCCACATATTCCTCTGCCTCATGTACCTATTCCCACCTCCATAAGTTGCCAATCTTCTTGGGTAGGAGAATGAGGGGGAGAACCAGCATGCAGATCATGAGAGCTATTATAATAATCCAACAGAGGGTGTCCCTAACCAGTGGGACGAAAAGATTAACGAGGTGCAAAACTAGCTTGACGACGTCCCCAACGCCATCAAAGCACAGGTGCCAGAAAATAGTGCATTACTTGACACTCCGTTTTGTGTTGGATGTTGTCAATTACCCTTTACCCTCAAAATTCAAGATGCCTACCGTGGAGATCTCTGATATCACTAAAGATCCCCTCGACTATCTTGACTCATACAAGTCTCTCATGCAGCTCCACAATGTATCTGATGAGATCATGTGCAAAGCCTTTCTTACCACCCTTAAGGAATCTGCACGACAATGGTTCGCCAAGTTCAAGCCTTCTTTTATCCACTCCTTTGCAAAGTTAAGCAAATCTTTCGTCTCCCACTTTATTGGGGGAAACCAACACCAAAAGCTAGTTATCCACCAGCTCACCATTAAACAAGATCGGGATGAAAGTCTAAGGAGTTACTTCACTTATTTTAACAAAGAGGCTCTTCAGATTAAGGAGGTAGACGACAAGGTGACCATGACCGTCTTTATTACAGGTCTACACTCCTCAAGTTTCTTGTTCTCCGTCCTGAAGAAACCATCCTCCAGCATACATGAGCTACATTCAAGGCAAAAAAATACATGAATGTTGAGGACGTCACAAAAGTTAGACGAGGTGAGTCCTCCCGTAGGAGTGATAAAATGAAGGATACTCGCGAGGANCATGAGCTACATTCAAGGCAAAAAAATACATGAATGTTGAGGACGTCACCAAAGTTAGACGAGGTGAGTCCTCCCGTAGGAGTGATAAAATGAAGGATACTCGCGAGGACAAGTGGGAAGTAAAGAACAAGAGGAAGAGGATAGAGAGCGTCTCTGTCAAGGACTGCCTTGGTCCCACACCTCTAAAAGAGCAACAAGCATTTATGTCGCTCAATGCTTCGGTGGAGCATATCCTATTTCAAATATAGGACGACCATACGTTTCGTTGGCCAGGAAAGATGAAGTCTGCCTCGAATCGTAGAAATCCAAACAAATATTGCTGATTCCACTGTGACCACGACCACGACACCGATGACTGCTTCGAGCTTAAGAGGCAGATCGAGAAGCTNGTCGCTCAATGCTTCGGTGGAGCATATCCTATTTCAAATATAGGACGACCATACATTTCGTTGGCCAGGAAAGATGAAGTCTGCCTCGAATCGTAGAAATCCAAACAAATATTGCTGATTCCACTGCGACCACGACCACGACACCGATGACTGCTTCGAGCTTAAGAGGCAGATCGAGAAGCTCATACAACTTGGCCAGTTGCGGTAGTACGTTGTTGGCAAATGACAGATCCTATTGTCTAGTCAGGACTAGGATGACAGAGAATGCCAATAACCCCTCAGAGAAATTCAGATGATCTCTAGAGGGTTAGGAGGAGGAGGTGACTCCAACTCTACTAGCAAAGTGTATGTCAGGAAAGTTAGACAAGTAGAGTCAAATAACTCTCGCCCAATGAAGATGTCCCAACATGGGGAAGGGAAGGTCATCTCATTCTCAGACAGGGACCTCGAGGGGATTCAACACCCCCATAATAACCCATGATGGCAGCCAACTACCAAGTTAAGAGAATTTTGGTGGATAGCGCCAACTTCACCGACATCTTGTTTGCATTAGCTTATGACAACCTCCACATTGGCAGGGAGAGATTGTAACCCATCAGGACGCCTCTCATTGAATTCTCAGGGGGAGAAGGTATATCCTTTGGGTTCCATCACGCTGCCAGTTATAGCAAGGACAGCATCAAGAAACTCCATCATCATGGTGAACTTCATGGTACTGAACTATCCCTCTGCCTACAAAATCATCATTGGACACCCTACACTCAACACCTTAAAGGCAGTGCCATCCACCTGCCACCTACTCTTCCATTTCCTAAGCCCCAATGGATCAGAGAAGTCAAAGGAGGTCAGGTCTCCGCCAGAGAATGCTATGAGGCCTCAAGAAACCCTTCAAGTGGAAGCGCTTGACACTCGAGATGACATCACGTTGGAAATGGGAGAGCCAACAAAGGAACTTGAGCTAGTAGAGCTGGACAAGAACCTTCCCAGAAAAAGAATCTATATTGGCACATCACTTTCCCCAGGAACGAGCCATCCACCTCATTGATTTCCTTAGGCGGAACATGTACATCTTCGCTTGGACCCACAAAGACCTGGAAAACATCGATCCTGAAGTGGCCACCCATTGGCTCAACGTGGATCTCAGGTACAAACTTGTCCACCAAAGTGGAGCAATATAAGTGTTGAGAGAGGCTAGGCCATAGAAAACGGAGTGGAAAAGTTGCTAGTAAATGGAACAGTAAGGGAGGTAGCCTACCCAGTTTGCCTATCAAATGTAGTGATAGTAACAAAAACAGAAAATGGTGCATCTGTGTGGACTTCACTGAGCTCAACAAAGCCTGTCCCAAAGACAATTACCACTTGCCACACATCAACATCCTTATTGATGTCACTGCCGGACACGAGCTTCTGAGTTTTCTAGATGATTATTCTGAGTATGACCAAATTAGCATGTTTCCTCCAGACCAAGAAAAAACCTCATCCATCACCCCCAAAAGGAACCTATTGCTACAGGGTTATGCCTTTCAGACTCAAAAATACCAGAGTCACATACCAGTACGTCGTGAACAAGATGTTTGAGGCATAGATCGGGAAGACCATGGAGGTCTATGTGGATGATATGTTGGTGAAGAGCTTGGCAATAGTAGACCACGTTACATACCTGCATGAGACCTTTAACATCCTAAAAGCCTACAGGATGAAGTTAAACCCTGAAAAGTGCACCTAAGCGTTAGTTCTGGAAAATTCCTATGCGTCATGGTTAACAAAACAAGTATTGAGGCCAATCCAGACAAGATCCGAGCTATCATAGGGATAAGGTTCCCAGCTTTTGTGAAGGAAGTCCNCAGGGAAATTCCTATGCGTCATGGTTAACAAAACAAGAATTGAGGCCAATCTAGACAAGATCCGAGCTATCATAGGGATAAGGTTCCCAGCTTTTGTGAAGGAAGTCCAGCACCTTAACAGAAGGATAGTAGCCCTCAGCAGGTTTGTCTCAAAATCAAGAGACAAATGTCTAACCTTCTTTACAATTATTCGTAAATCTTTTCAATCTGGACTAGATACAGAGAAAGCCTCCCAAAAGTTAAAAAGCTACCTCATTACGCCCCCTTACTCTCCTATGTTGTACCAGGAGAAACCTCGTATCTCTACCTCTTCTCCTCGTCCTCTACCGTGAGCTCCATTNCTAGATACAGAGAAAGCCTCCCAAAAGTCAAAAGGCTACCTCATTACGCCCCCTTACTCTCCTATGTTGTACCAGGAGAAACCTCGTATCTCTACCTCTTCTCCTCGTCCTCTACCGTGAGCTCCATTATCGTCAAAGAGGATGAAGGGATCCAAAGGCATGTGTATTATGTAAGTAGGGCATATTAAGGAGCGGAAGTGAGATACTCTGAGTTGAAAAAGTTAGCTTTTGCACTTGTCACTGTTGTTAGGCGCCTACACCACTATTTCCAAAGTCACACCATTGTGGTTATCACAAATCAACCACTCAAGAGAATTCTTGAAAAGCCAAATGTATCTAGATGACTCCTCAAATGGTCTATCGAGTTGAGTGAGTTTGATGTACATTACTAGCCGAGGGCAGCCATAAAAGCGCAAGTAATTGTGGACTTTGTGGCCGAATCTACACCACTTGAAGAAGATTCCCAAAGAGTACCCTGTGCCTCTGTGTTCACCAGCCTAGTACACATCACCTCAAATCACCATGAGGTAATCCCAAGCACAATCCCCAGAGAGCCTGGTGTCATGGAGATGGCCCCCTAGGCCCTTGGAGTCCATACTCCTAGGCCAAAGGTGCCCAGTTCCCTTTCACTTACTCTTCCAAAGTCCTTAGCGCCCCAGCCTGTCGTGCTCCTGCCTGAGTGCCCTATTATGCCTAAGTAGACATCCCTCACTGGCACGGTATCATGTTGGAGATTGTACGTAGATGAATCCTCCACTAGCGAGGGTGACAACACAGGATTGGAACTGATCAGTCTCCATGACACTCCACTAAAGCACGTTGTCTCCCTCTATTTTGCAACTTCAAACAACCGAACAAAATATGAGGCTTTCATATCAGTCTTGAAAATCGCAACTGAGATGGAAGCTCTCTGCTTGACGGCTTATAGTGCTTCCCAGCTGGTAGTCAACTTGGTAAAAGGAGATTTCAAAGGGAATGATGAAAAAATGTAAGAATACCTGATAGTGGTTCAAGCTTTGTTAAAAAAGTTTAACCACTTTAAAATCCACCATGTGCCTAGGGAGAAGAACGTCATGGTAGATGCTNGCTGGTAGTCAACTTGGTAAAAGGAGATTTCAAAGGGAAGGATGAAAAAATGTAAGAATACCTGATAGTGGTTCAAGCTTTGTTAAAAAAGGTTAACCACTTTAAAATCCACCATGTGCCTAGGGAGAAGAACGTCATGGTAGATGCTCTCGCCAAGTTTGCATCTGCAAACATACTCATGGGCCCAACACTGACAGACCACCAGTTTGACCCAAATAGTCTCAAGGCAAAGGAGGACGATATTAATTGTACATCATTCGAAGTCAATTGGATGACACCTATCCTAGCCTACCTAGAGGAAGACACTTTTCCCATAGAATCTAGTGAAAGCCAAAAAGTTGACAGTTAGAGCATCTAGGTACATCATCCCACATGACACACTTTACAAGAAAATTTACTCACTGCCACTACTCCGCTGCCTCACCTNCTCTCGCCAAGTTTGCATCTACAAACATACTCATGGGCCCAACACTGACAGACCACCAGTTTGACCCAAATAGTCTCAAGGCAAAGGAGGACGATATTAATTGTACATCATTCGAAGTCAATTGGATGACACCTATCCTAGCCTACCTAGAGGAAGACACTTTTCCCATAGAATCTAGTGAAAGCCAAAAAGTTGACAGTTAGAGCATCTAGGTACATCATCCCACATGACACACTTTACAAGAAAATTTACTCACTGCCACTACTCCGCTGCCTCACCTTCGAAAAAGTCGATTATGCCATGAGAAAAATTCACGAGAGAATATGCAAAAATTACTCAGGACGACATGCACTAGCTCACAAGACAGTGAGGTAAGGCTACTATTGGTCTTGCATGATCAAAGCCACTCGTGAGTTCGTAAGGAAGTGCGACAAATGTCAACACTTTGCAATAGTGCCCAAACAACCACCAGAAGAGCTCACTACCATCTTATGCCCCATGGTCTTTCTATATGTAAGGGATTGACATCTTAGGACCTCTACTTATGAGTCAAGGATAATGCAAATTTATGGTAGTAGTCATTAACTTCTTCACAAAGTGGGCAGAAACTGAGTCCTTATCTAGAATAACAGACCAAAAAGTGAAGGACTTTATTTGAAAGAGCATAGTATGTTGTTTTGGAATACCTCATGCAATAGTAAGTGATAACGCCAAGCAATTTGACAACAAACTCCTTAACAGCTTCTATGCTGACCTATAGATCAAGCAATCTCACTCTAGTTCGGCCCATCTATAGGCAAACGGGTAGGTGGAGGTTACCATTAGAATAATCCTCCACAACCTAAAGACTAGATTGGAAAGTGTCATGGGACAATGGGTGGACCAGCTCACAAGAGTACTATAGGCTTACCGAATAACTCTAAGAAGCTCTAGGGGTGAGACCCCATTCTCCTTATCCTACAGGACAAAGGCGGTCATACTAGTCGAAATTGGGGTATACTTCCTTAAGGTCCAACACCATAACCCTACCACTAATGAAGAAAGCTTCCGTATCAACCTCGACTTGGTAGAGGAGGAAAGGGAGATGGACATGCTCAAGAATACGAAGTACAAACGTCGCATGACCAAATATTACAACTCAAGGGTGAAGCCTTGTTCCTTCTTGCCTATGGACCTAGTCCTCAAAAAGGTCATCCTGTCTAGCAAGTACTCTCGAGAAAGGAAGTTAGGCCTTAACTAAGAAGGACCCTACATGGTTACAAAAGTTATAAGACCGAGCACCTACAAAATTCAGAACTCTAAGGGAAAAGTCTTGGCCCATCCATGGAACACAGAACACCTAAAGAGGTATTACCAATAACGGGGTGCAAGTCAATGACTATCATCTAAATTATCTTTTGTTGTTTCAGTTAATTCTTTTTGTTATCTACTTCAAATTATGAAATAAAATTTTACAAGATTATCTTTGTCAAAAACTATCTCTCATTCCATAAAAGTTTGTAAACAATTTACAAAATTAGAACATAAGCAACAAAGAGAGAAACAAAAAGATAAAAAAATTTCATACTCCTGACATCACTTACTCCTCCCTAATCCACTCTCATCAAAGCTTTCTCCATCACTATCAGTCCCTGGTGCCTCATATGAGATGAAGCCAGAAAAGTCAACGATAGAGAAAGTTGCTGAGACCTTCCCCCTAAGTTCCTCATAACCATTAATAAAGGCGTCTGCGACGACCTTCTCAGCAACCTCCCTCCTTATCTCCATTTCAATGAAATGAGCCTTTGCCTTAGTAGCAGTCTCATGAGCTGCTCGTAGATCAACCTCTACCACAACAGCCTTCTCCCAAACGGTTCGAAGCTCAACCTCAGTTCCAGCGGCCCTCTCGTGGGATACTCACAGCTCTATCTCTGTTCTAGCGCAGGTAGTCTCTGTGTCAGCCTCCAAGTGGGCGGCCCTCTCACAGGATGCCAAAAGCTCAGCCTCAAGAGATGTAGCTCTCTCGTAAGCTAGTCTTAACTTTTCCTCGATAGCCTCTCTAGCCTCAACTGAACCTAAAAAGCCTTTCGCGTTTGACTCTCCTCTACTAGAGCTCTTGATGTCTCTCCAAACTTGACTGTCCTCAAAAAGAGGTAGGAAAAAACAGTAGCCACCGATAAGCATTCAGAAGGCAAGACAGAAAGAAAAACCAAAGTGCAGAAATCAAAGGTAAAAAGGAGGAAAATATACCATAGCAAACCCCTCTATCACGATACTAATAATGTCTTATGGACCTCAAGAACCGACTTATCTGATATCTATGGTAGTCACAAACCTCCAAAATCGCTCCTTGGCCAGATTCACATCCTGTAGCATGGACACCGAGCCACTGTTAGAAGCCAGACAACAAAGCAGAGCTCTAGTCCCGACAAAAGGCCGCGTTGGAATTTCAACTCCCAAAGTAGATGCANCTTTGGCCAGATTCACATCCTGCAGCATGGACACCGAGCCACTGTTAGAAGCTAGACAACAAAGCAGAGCTCTAGTCCCGACAAAAGGCCGCGTTGGAATTTCAACTCCCAAAGTAGATGCAGGATTAACCCTAGCACTCGAAGGAGTTGTGTGTTGAGAAAAAATGGGGGCACTTTCTAATCCAACCTCCTGGGATATAACAAGGTTATTGGATCGCCGAGAGGCGCTAGGGGCATCGATTTTTGTCCTCTTGGGAGGAGAGAAAGATGCCTCCTTAGAAGTATAAAAAGCCTCTACCATCGCTCCATTAACAATGGGACCTGCGGAATTGGTATAAGACGAAGAAACTACAGTATTACAATTACCAAAGTTTATTGGAATGATCAAATACCTTTCATCTTCTACCTAGGAGAGGCTCTGGGATTACCCCCCGTGGACATGAGGGGCATAAACTCCTTGATAGGATGATCCCGCACGACGTGGAACCTCCTCTCTTGCTCCACATTACTCCACATATAATATGGGTAGAGCTGCAAAAGAACCAAACATGTAGTGAATACAAGGGATATGGCAGTTAAACATAAAAGCAAAGGTAAAACCTTTACCTAGTTTGGTCCTCAGAGCAGTATCCCAACTCGAAGGCACTAAGTCACGATTTTTCTTAGCGGCCCACTCACGTTCGACAAAGAAGTATCTAGATTTTTAGTTGGGGTAGTTTGAAGGTAGTCCAGTAGTAAACTTATTGGACCTCAGAGCGAAGCAATATTATCCTTGATGAGGAGTAGGATTATCTAGTAATACGTACGAAGCCATGAACTCCTCAAAAAGGGGAAAAACACCCTCGTCATGAACCAACCATCATAGCCAAAAAAAGCCAAGATTATGCTCCAACCATTTGGAGTCAGTCTCCCCGAAGTGAGTGAAAAATGGCTCAGAATCCGACAGATAGCCCCAGGAATAGGAAATCTCAATCCTGTCTCTAGGATGTACTCATAAAAAACAATCTTCCTGACAAGAGTCGAAGCATGCCAACTCGTCCACCTTAGCCTGGCGGCACATAACAGCGGGGGAAATATGATAAGATGACACAATGTAAGTAATATCATCATTACAATTTATGAAGCTAAAAATAGAGGATACCTTCGAACCATTACTATCAGCAGCTCCCTCTCCCCATTGAGAAGCCTGACTCGCCATGCCTTGCTCATAATGGGCACCTATCAAAATTAGAGCTGATGTCAAGAAAATCTCAATATCAAGTAAATGCTAAAGCAAGAACCATTACTATAAGCAACTTCCTCTCCTTTGCTGGCGACGCCCACCCGTGCGCACTTGGCGTCGCCTTTGCCCAAGGCGTCACCTTCTTCTCCTTTGTTGGGGTAGCCCAACAGCCTGCTGTGCCTGGCGCTAGTTGTTGCATCCCCTTTGGTGCTACCTACGTGGAGCTGGCCCACACTTTCAATAATTGGCGTCGTAATGGAAGGACCTTCGTCGGATCTCGCAGAGATGTTGCTAATACCTGGTTTCGTTTGTTACCCACTACACCTGATCTCCATCCCCATTTCATTTGGAAAAGATCTCTGTGATTTAAGAGAATGAAGAGAAATGTATAACCCAACCCAAAGTACGATGGAAAAATAAGGAAAGTGAATGATTCTAGGATCTATTTATATGTCTTTTTGAAACATTTGTGGGAAATGCCCTAAATGGAGGAAATGAGGGATCTTTTAATAATGAGGAGTGAGAATTATTCTAGAGTGGTGATGTCATAGTGGGCGAGTGCCCAGCAATAAAACGAGGAAGATGAAAAAATGAGCTCCCGAGGTGCAAATAGAAAAAGAAGCTAAGGAAGTACCACCATGCAGAACAAGAAACCTTGTCTATCCAGATGAAAGGCTCACTCATACCCTCAACCACCTTTTGTCACAAATGGGGTTTGAGGCATGGGGGCAAATGATGAGCTCAGATCCAGTTGGACCAGGCCTAATCCATAGAGTAAGCCCAAATTAACTAAAAAGAAGGTCAAATCCAGCTCATAGCCTCAATTCAGTCCAAAGTTTAAGAACCTATGAAGATCAGCGTACGTGAGGAGTAATTATTGAGATAATCATTACTAGAAAATCAAAACTATTCTTAGTTGTATCTATTTTTAGTTGTAGTTATCCTCCCCGACAGACTGGTAATCTACCATTCACGCCACCGCCTCAATTAAGGCTTTATGTCTATAAATTGAAAGTTTTTTACACATGAGGGACACTTCTCTCACACAACTATCTATCTCATATAACTACCTCACTACACCTAGAGTTTGCTCGTACTCTTTCTCCCATTCTCTACTTTATTAATAAAATTTTCCAATTATCGTCGTCATCTTCAGTTGTTAGGTCCCCTCAGCCCAACTACTCAATCTTTGTCTTTTATTGTTTATTGCTTCATTAATTACTTTGTATCATATACTTGACTGTTGATCGTGTATAAATCCATTTTTGTACATCATCAAAGTTCACCTACAGGCTTATTTACTTATTAATAAATAATTATATCACGTGATATTAACGTGTTGTAGCAATTAAGTTAGGCATTTGGGCTCATATATGTAAATCATTAGGGTTAATTTTAGTTTTCACTTTTGAAAGATGTTAAAAATCTTAATATATATCTTATAAAATATAAAGTTTTAAATTACACTTTCAGTATTATTAATAAAAGAATTAGATAAANAGGAAATCTCAATCCTGTCTCTAGGATGTACTCATAAAAAACAATCTTCCTGACAAGAGTCGAAGCACGCCAACTCGTCCACCTTAGCCTGGCGGCACATGACAGCGGGGGAAATATGATAAGATGACACAATGTAAGTAATATCATCATTACAATTTATGAAGCTAAAAATAGAGGATACCTTCGAACCATTACTATCAACAGCTCCCTCTCCCCATTGAGAAGCCTGACTCGCCATGCCTTGCTCATAATGGGCACCTATCAAAATTAGAGCTGATGTCAAGGAAATCTCAATATCAAGTAAATGCTAAAGCAAGAACCATTACTATAAGCAACTTCCTCTCCTTTGCTGGCGACGCCCACCCGTGCGCACTTGGCNCACTCGAAGGAGTTGTGTGTTGAGAAAAAATGGGGGCACTCTCTAATCCAACCTCCTGGGATATAACAAGGTTATTGGATCGCCGAGAGGCGCTAGGGGCATCGATTTTCGTCCTCTTGGGAGGAGAGAAAGATGCCTCCTTAGAAGTATAAAAAGCCTCTACCATNCATCGCCTTTGCCCAGGGCGTCACCTTCTTCTCCTTTGTTGGGGTAACCCAACAGCCTGCTGTGCCTGGCGCTAGTTGTTGCATCCCCTTTGGTGCTACCTACNTTTCTAATCCAACCTCCTGGGATATAACAAGGTTATTGGATCGCCGAGAGGCGCTAGGGGCATCGATTTTTGTCCTCTTGGGAGGAGAGAAAGATGCCTCCTTAGAAGTATAAAAAGCCTCTACCATCGCTCCATTAACAATGGGACCTGCGGAATTGGTATAAGACGAAGAAACTACAGTATTACAATTACCAAAGTTTATTGGAATGATCAAATACCTTTCATCTTCTACCTAGGAGAGGCTCTGGGATTACCCCCCGTGGACATGAGGGGCATAAACTCCTTGATAGGATGATCCCGCACGACGTGGAACCTCCTCTCTTGCTCCACATTACTCCACATATAATATGGGTAGAGCTGCAAAAGAACCAAACATGTAGTGAATACAAGGGATATGGCAGTTAAACATAAAAGCAAAGGTAAAACCTTTACCTAGTTTGGTCCTCAGAGCAGTATCCCAACTCGAAGGCACTAAGTCACGATTTTTCTTAGCGGCCCACTCACGTTCGACAAAGAAGTATCTAGATTTTTAGTTGGGGTAGTTTGAAGGTAGTCCAGTAGTAAACTTATTGGACCTCAGAGCGAAGCAATATTATCCTTGATGAGGAGTAGGATTATCTAGTAATACGTACGAAGCCATGAACTCCTCAAAAAGGGGAAAAACACCCTCGTCATGAACCAACCATCATAGCCAAAAAAAGCCAAGATTATGCTCCAACCATTTGGAGTCAGTCTCCCCGAAGTGAGTGAAAAATGGCTCAGAATCCGACAGATAGCCCCAGGAATAGGAAATCTCAATCCTGTCTCTAGGATGTACTCATAAAAAACAATCTTCCTGACAAGAGTCGAAGCATGCCAACTCGTCCACCTTAGCCTGGCGGCACATAACAGCGGGGGAAATATGATAAGATGACACAATGTAAGTAATATCATCATTACAATTTATGAAGCTAAAAATAGAGGATACCTTCGAACCATTACTATCAGCAGCTCCCTCTCCCCATTGAGAAGCCTGACTCGCCATGCCTTGCTCATAATGGGCACCTATCAAAATTAGAGCTGATGTCAAGAAAATCTCAATATCAAGTAAATGCTAAAGCAAGAACCATTACTATAAGCAACTTCCTCTCCTTTGCTGGCGACGCCCACCCGTGCGCACTTGGCATCGCCTTTGCCCAGGGCGTCACCTTCTTCTCCTTTGTTGGGGTAGCCCAACAGCCTGCTGTGCCTGGCGCTAGTTGTTGCATCCCCTTTGGTGCTACCTACGTGGAGCTGGCCCACACTTTCAATAATTGGCGTCGTAATGGAAGGACCTTCGTCGGATCTCGCAGAGATGTTGCTAATACCTGGTTTCGTTTGTTACCCACTACACCTGATCTCCATCCCCATTTCATTTGGAAAAGATCTCTGTGATTTAAGAGAATGAAGAGAAATGTATAACCCAACCCAAAGTACGATGGAAAAATAAGGAAAGTGAATGATTCTAGGATCTATTTATATGTCTTTTTGAAACATTTGTGGGAAATGCCCTAAATGGAGGAAATGAGGGATCTTTTAATAATGAGGAGTGAGAATTATTCTAGAGTGGTGATGTCATAGTGGGCGAGTGCCCAGCAATAAAACGAGGAAGATGAAAAAATGAGCTCCCGAGGTGCAAACAGAAAAAGAAGCTAAGGAAGTACCACCATGCAGAACAAGAAACCTTGTCTATCCAGATGAAAGGCTCACTCATACCCTCAACCACCTTTTGTCACAAATGGGGTTTGAGGCATGGGGGCAAATGATGAGCTCAGATCCAGTTGGACCAGGCCTAATCCATAGAGTAAGCCCAAATTAACTAAAAAGAAGGTCAAATCCAGCTCATAGCCTCAATTCAGTCCAAAGTTTAAGAACCTATGAAGATCAGCGTACGTGAGGAGTAATTATTGAGATAATCATTACTAGAAAATCAAAACTATTCTTAGTTGTATCTATTTTTAGTTGTAGTTATCCTCCCCGAAAGACTGGTAATCTACCATTCACGCCACCGCCTCAATTAAGGCTTTATGTCTATAAATTGAAAGTTTTTTACACATGAGGGACACTTCTCTCACACAACTATCTATCTCATATAACTACCTCACTACACCTAGAGTTTGCTCGTACTCTTTCTCCCATTCTCTACTTTATTAATAAAATTTTCCAATTATCGTCGTCATCTTCAGTTGTTAGGTCCCCTCAGCCCAACTACTCAATCTTTGTCTTTTATTGTTTATTGCTTCATTAATTACTTTGTATCATATACTTGACTGTTGATCGTGTATAAATCCATTTTTGTACATCATCAAAGTTCACCTACAGGCTTATTTACTTATTAATAAATAATTATATCACGTGATATTAACGTGTTGTAGCAATTAAGTTAGGCATTTGGGCTCATATATGTAAATCATTAGGGTTAATTTTAGTTTTCACTTTTGAAAGATGTTAAAAATCTTAATATATATCTTATAAAATATAAAGTTTTAAATTACACTTTCGGTATTATTAATAAAAGAATTAGATAAATTGCACCAATAACCCTAAGGTTTACTCTTNAGTTTTCACTTTTGAAAGATGTTAAAAATCTTAATATATATCTTATAAAATATAAAGTTTTAAATTACACTTTCAGTATTATTAATAAAAGAATTAGATAAATTGCACCAATAACCCTAAGGTTTACTCTTTAAACTTTCAATTTCACCATCCGAGTCCTCGAACTTCAAGCATTACACGAATGAAGTCCCTCGCGTTGACCTTCATTTAAATTATTGCCAAGCACATTTCTAGCATGTGATTGGTAATAAGGGTACTTAAGTGATTGTCCACCGATTGTTTTTTTAAAAACTCTTATTTCCTAATTTGAATAATTTTAAACCTACTCAACCATATTGTATCTTCTTTCTCTCTTCATATTCATTTTCTCTATCATACACACGTTTTGAAAAGGCCCAACATAATATTCACCCATAAGAGTAGCACACTACACATTCTTTTTGTCTCTCCCTCTACACAAAACATATGCCAAACCCAACAACTCATAAACTCCCTGATCAATCATTCAACCCTAAGTCTATGAGAACTAGCATCACTAATACCACCACCTAAAATTCAATCATCGTCCAAATTACAAATAAATAAGAAATAAAAATCACAAATAAAATGATAAATCATATCAAAATAAATATTAAGACTAAAAATCAAAATTGAGATTGAATTGTAGGACGTTGAATAATTGGTGTTGAGATAAGGGTAGAAATGTCAAAAACTAAGGAAGAAGTGATATATCTCGGCAAGGGGTGTTTGGGGGGTGGAAGCCTACTCATGGGGAGACTAGAGTCGTTTTGGTTTGCGGTGGAGGATGAAGGCAACGACAGAGAACATGGTGATTATATTTCACTTGCACCCACAGAAGAAATAATCTCAGCGTAAAATATGACATTACATATACACCCTTTATGTTGCAAGTATAAAGGCANACGGTGATTATATTTCACTTTCACCCACAGAAAAAATAACCTCAGCGTAAAATATGACATTACATATACACCCTTTATGTTGCAAGTATAAAGGCAACATAAAAATATGATAAGATTTAATGTTTTTTATTCAAGACAAGAGTAGGATTGATTGGTTATTTTCTCATTCGTAAGAGGAGCATTGTAATTTTTCAGTAAGAAACAAACAAAGGGTGTCATTGTAATTTCTCGTACCTAAAGGGTCCTTATGATTTAATGAAAAACTTTAGGGAACCTGTGTGTAATTTATTCGTTCTATCTAAAACCCTACACTACACTAAAGCCCCTTTCTCTTCCCCATCTTCGTCTGAGATCTTCATTTCTCTTTCATCTCGCCCCACACTTTCTTGCAAATACAGAGACCCTTTGAACATGAGCACTGCAAGTTACTAGGGGGAGCTTTCTTCCTATATATGTTATTCTTTGGATATTTCTAAACAGAGCTGTTCCCATTGTTGTTATTACTCAACATGTCGGCCGCATCCAGAGGCATCATTGATCGTCTCCGACTTCTCTCCATCGGTCCAAGGAAAATTTCACCACCAACAACGGCAATATCTATATTCACAACCCAGTTCAGAAGATTTAGTGCCGAACCTTCAATCGGTGAGTCCGTTATCGACCAAGTACAATCTCGAATCATCGAAGCCAGAACCAGAGTCATGACGCCCAATTCCAAGCGGACCGGTGTCATTGCTGTCAAGTGTGGGATGACCGCTCTTTGGGACAAATGGGGTGCTAGAGTTCCCATCAGCATCCTTTGGTTGGACGATAACATTGTTTCTCAAGTCAAAACACCAGAAAACGAAGGAATTTCTGCCCTCCAGGTTGAGCTCATATCAACGATTTATGGTATATTCGTTTTTAAGACTTATGTTGCTGCTAGAGAGTTTAGTGCGTATGTGGTGATGAAACATTGACTGTTTTTCGTGTTGTGGTGTTAGTTAGGTTGGGTGCGGGCACAAGAAGGAGAAGCATTTGACAAAGCCTGAAATGGGTCATTTTAGAGCTCAGGGTGTTCCCATGAAGAGGAAATTGAGGGAGTTTCCGGTGACCGAGGATGCGCTTCTTCCCATTGGTTCGTCCATCGGGGTTCGCCATTTTGTTCCGGGCCAGTATGTCGATGTCACCGGAATCACTAGAGGAAAAGGTTTTCAGGTGGAACATTCATCCTTTTGTATTATTTAATGGCTATTGATTGCCTTTCCCCGTTTCTGTTCTGCTTAGTGCCTTCTGTTTCTTCAAACTTTATAGTGATTTTACAACTCCACAACTTCACATAAGTAATCGTTTACTATAATGTGCTTCAATGCGGCTGTAGTGTATTTTATCTTTGACCTCTAATTAGCTTCTTTGTATCCGATCTCATATCTTCTTTGATAGAATGTGTGTCATACCTTAGGGATTTGTGTGTTGAAAATTAACATGATCTGGAGATTGTGGCCATATGTCTTGACTTGGTTTTCTTTGTTGGTCTATTCTTTGGTCGTGCATGGTGCCTAATGACAAAAAAAAATGTGGAAAAAAATACTTGTTAAATGCCTAGGATAGCTTATTTTATAATTTTGCATTGATTGTAATTTAATGTGTCTGGTTTTCATGTGTCCAGGGTGGGATGAAAAGGTGGAATTTTAAAGGAATGCCTGCATCCCATGGTGCATCAAAGTCACATCGAAGTATTGGTTCTACTGGTCAGAGGGATGATCCTGGGAAGGTGTGTGGCCCTCCTTATATTGGTGAACGTTCGTTATAATTTCGAGCAAAACCTGATGCCCAACAGTTTCTGCTTTTAGCAGCATAAAATTTTTGTTTAATCTGCTTTCTCATAGGAATTCGTTGTCAATTGTCTATGCACGAACTATTGCATGGAATTTGGCTATTATTAGAATAAAGTTAGATTGTTGAACTCTCTATTGAGTTAGACTTGGGATGCTATCCAATACGTTGCGCACAGTTCTATCCTCAAAGAGATTATAATTTTTCTAACTTCTCAAGTCCTTTAACGTATTTGTGAGGTTGGGTTTCATTTAGTTATTTCTTCTTCTCTTTTTAAAAAACTGATGAGAAAATTTGTCTAGATAAAATCCTTGGCCAATGGGTTGCAGGTAGATTCTATGTTTACATAATTGAGAACATGGTTTGTGATTAGAGAAAGCCAAACGTAGACAACGGGGAGCTAGATCAACTATGGAATATGAATATATTAAGGAGGATAAAAATTCTAGTGACTTTTAGAGCTTCACCAAGACCTCGGGATGTTGTCTTGTCTCCACTGAGTTTCCAAAATAAACTCACCAAAGTCAAGAATAGGAGTTTGTGAAATAGATATCCAGGGACAAATTACTGAATTAGGTTAGGTGGTAGGTGGGGTTGAACTCTATATGATGGTTAGAGTCAACTAAAAAACACTATATATTTCTAAGAAATTTACACACATTGGGGGGAGCCCCTCTGGTTCCTAGGCTCATGGCTGCTAGTATATATTTCTATGCTTATCACTTGCATTAGTGAAGAAAAGGGTATTGGTGCCACCAACTCAAGTGATTTGCATGACTTACATGAACATTTTACAGTAAAGACATATGACTAGCACTTGTCACTAAGTAAGTGATTGGGATCTGGGTAAGAACAAAGACCTAAAAACTGATATAAACTTATTGAATCGTATAGTTGACTCTTGACAAATTACGTGAGGGGTGGGCTTACTTACTCTTCTCATTCTCTTTGGGTGCCCATCTCAAAACCGATCTCTGGATGTAATTCAATTGCGGGACTATATAATTTAGTTTGCTTAAAAACAAAAGTTTTGTGTATAACTTTTTTGCAAGATGGTGCTGATAGGTTGTATTGGAGTGGAAGGACGAAAATGGTGGAGCTTGAGTTGCTGTGATCATCATGAGCATTACAAACTGATTAGGGTTTAAGGTTTTACTTAGTTCTTTGCCCTCTTGGTAAATTGTGAGATATTGCTGCTGTACAATAGAAGTGTACCAGATTGAATTTTTTATGGGGGTAAGGTGCTAACTGACTGACACCACAAAGAAAATGCTGTGTAAGGCATTTTAGTATGCCTAATTTGTTGTTTGATCACAAGGTTTTTTTTTTTTTCCCATATTCCTGCTTACATTTCCATGTGAGTTTGCACCCAAACATGGGGATCGGTGGATTTCATTGAGTGGATCCCTTTTCATATCATGCACACTTTTCACAATAGTAATCTTGAAAATTTCTTTCCTATTTATGAATTATGGAAAAAACATAATTGCTTAAAAGCTCACCTTTTAACTTCTTTTCTTTTTGTACATCTATGAGTTTAAACTTTATGGTGAACTATCATATTGTACTTTTAATTTGAATGGTGACAAGTTACCTTTTAGTTAGAATATATGAATTGCTTCAGTTTTTTTTTGTTGGAACAAGTGAAGTTTGACAATGCCTGTGTAGATGAAAGATGTGTTTAAGTCGGAATAAGCTAGTTTATTAGCATTGTTATGAGCTGAATATTGGTTGTGTGGTTTGATTTGGTTGGGTTCTATGCAAGTTATAGGCCATCTTGTTGATATTCTATTGCTAAAAGGAAAATTTGTATCAGGTGTCAACATATAATACTGGAAAGTTTGATCACATCAGTCACTTTTAGGGACTTAATAATGGTTTTTGCTCCAAGTTGTATTTTTCGATCAATGAAAAGACTACATAGCTAAAACCTGATAGCATGTACTTTATTGTGGAATATGCGTGGATGTTACATTAGCTATATGTTAGGATATTTACTAACAACATAACATAGCTGTCAGAAGGAAAATGAATGATTAAGATGTTTTTTTATTATTGATGCACATGAATCTGCAAAGTTTTTTAGAATGTGTTGGCTTCAGATTAATTAATAATAAATTGTAATGGGTGGAATTTAAATTGTGGTAAGAGAAAGAGCCTTGAAATTGAGAAAATTAAGGTACAAGGGGTGCCTTGAAGACGGCCGCTATCGTAGTAGTGAAGGAACTTATTGATGCCAAAGTGAAACAATATGGCCGTTGGTGTTGTTGGATAGATGGTTAGCTTTCAGTCCTAAGAGTGAAATAGGCACTATTGTGAGATTACCTGAAGCTGAGGTAATTGAAATCCTTGTAGAGGTTTATGTGGAGGCACCTACAACAGAATCCCTGATCTTGGCTTGAATTCCTTTAAAAACAGGAACCTGCGGGTTTTTAAGATTTTCAATATTCATGTTTCCCAAAGCAACACTATATAGACTTCCTTGATCACTTTAAGACAGATTGATCTCTTGGATCATTACTTACTCCCCAATAGCTCATATGAATTTGGTGACTATTGGTATGTTTAGTTGGCCCGTTAGGTCACCTATTTTGAGTTATAGAAACATAAGGCCAAAACATTAGTTTGATTCGAGGTGTCACCAAAACATTGTCATCTGTTCCAAAAACAAAAACTACTTATTGTGCCGGTACGAGAGTAAGGGACAACTCTACGTGCTGGCAACAGTAGCATTGGCTCTACGAAGTCAGAATCCTTCATTCGTGAATAAGAATTCAAGGATGTGAAGTGCGTGCTTATAGCTGCTGCGCATGCTTATTATGGTGACTATGTTGGTGTGGTGGAATGAATTTGTTTTGCACGTTGCTTTTGCCCACATCAATTTGGAAAACNTGAACTCTATATGATGGTTAGAGTCAACTAAAAAACACTATATATTTCTAAGAAATTTACACACATTGGGGGGAGCCCCTCTGGTTCCTAGGCTCATGGCTGCTAGTATATATTTCTATGCTTATCACTTGCATTAGTGAAGAAAAGGGTATTGGTGCCACCAACTCAAGTGATTTGCATGACTTACATGAACATTTTACAGTAAAGACATATGACTAGCACTTGTCACTAAGTAAGTGATTGGGATCTGGGTAAGAACAAAGACCTAAAAACTGATATAAACTTATTGAATCGTATAGTTGACTCTTGACAAATTNAGTTACATGAACATTTTACAGTAAAGACATATGACTAGCACTTGTCACTAAGTAAGTGATTGGGATCTGGGTAAGAACTAAGACCTAAAAACTGATATAAACTTATTGAATCGTATAGTTGACTCTTGACAAATTACGTGAGGGGTGGGCTTACTTACTCTTCTCATTCTCTTTGGGTGCCCATCTCAAAACCGATCTCTGGATGTAATTCAATTGCGGGACTATATAATTTAGTTTGCTTAAAAACAAAAGTTTTGTGTATAACTTTTTTGCAAGATGGTGCTGATAGGTTGTATTGGAGTGGAAGGACGAAAATGGTGGAGCTTGAGTTGCTGTGATCATCATGAGCATTACAAACTGATTAGGGTTTAAGGTTTTACTTAGTTCTTTGCCCTCTTGGTAAATTGTGAGATATTGCTGCTGTACAATAGAAGTGTACCAGATTGAATTTTTTATGGGGGTAAGGTGCTAACTGACTGACACCACAAAGAAAATGCTGTGTAAGGCATTTTAGTATGCCTAATTTGTTGTTTGATCACAAGGTTTTTTTTTTTTTCCACATATTCCTGCTTACATTTCCATGTGAGTTTGCACCCAAACATGGGGATCGGTGGATTTCATTGAGTGGATCCCTTTTCATATCATGCACACTTTTCACAATAGTAATCTTGAAAATTTCTTTCCTATTTATGAATTATGGAAAAAACATAATTGCTTAAAAGCTCACCTTTTAACTTCTTTTCTTTTTGTACATCTATGAGTTTAAACTTTATGGTGAACTATCATATTGTACTTTTAATTTGAATGGTGACAAGTTACCTTTTAGTTAGAATATATGAATTGCTTCAGTTTTTTTTTGTTGGAACAAGTGAAGTTTGACAATGCCTGTGTAGATGAAAGATGTGTTTAAGTCGGAATAAGCTAGTTTATTAGCATTGTTATGAGCTGAATATTGGTTGTGTGGTTTGATTTGGTTGGGTTCTATGCAAGTTATAGGCCATCTTGTTGATATTCTATTGCTAAAAGGAAAATTTGTATCAGGTGTCAACATATAATACTGGAAAGTTTGATCACATCAGTCACTTTTAGGGACTTAATAATGGTTTTTGCTCCAAGTTGTATTTTTCGATCAATGAAAAGACTACATAGCTAAAACCTGATAGCATGTACTTTATTGTGGAATATGCGTGGATGTTACATTAGCTATATGTTAGGATATTTAGTAACAACATAACATAGCTGTCAGAAGGAAAATGAATGATTAAGATGTTTTTTTATTATTGATGCACATGAATCTGCAAAGTTTTTTAGAATGTGTTGGCTTCAGATTAATTAATAATAAATTGTAATGGGTGGAATTTAAATTGTGGTAAGAGAAAGAGCCTTGAAATTGAGAAAATTAAGGTACAAGGGGTGCCTTGAAGACGGCCGCTATCGTAGTAGTGAAGGAACTTATTGATGCCAAAGTGAAACAATATGGCCGTTGGTGTTGTTGGATAGATGGTTAGCTTTCAGTCCTAAGAGTGAAATAGGCACTATTGTGAGATTACCTGAAGCTGAGGTAATTGAAATCCTTGTAGAGGTTTATGTGGAGGCACCTACAACAGAATCCCTGATCTTGGCTTGAATTCCTTTAAAAACAGGAACCTGCAGGTTTTTAAGATTTTCAATATTCATGTTTCCCAAAGCAACACTATATAGACTTCCTTGATCACTTTAAGACAGATTGATCTCTTGGATCATTACTTACTCCCCAATAGCTCATATGAATTTGGTGACTATTGGTATGTTTAGTTGGCCCGTTAGGTCACCTATTTTGAGTTATAGAAACATAAGGCCAAAACATTAGTTTGATTCGAGGTGTCACCAAAACATTGTCATCTGTTCCAAAAACAAAAACTACTTATTGTGCCGGTACGAGAGTAAGGGACAACTCTACGTGCTGGCAACAGTAGCATTGGCTCTACGAAGTCAGAATCCTTCATTCGTGAATAAGAATTCAAGGATGTGAAGTGCGTGCTTATAGCTGCTGCGCATGCTTATTATGGTGACTATGTTGGTGTGGTGGAATGAATTTGTTTTGCACGTTGCTTTTGCCCACATCAATTTGGAAAACTATAGAATGAGCATGTCGCGTGCAACATATCATAAACAATCCCTAACTTCTAGGTCTTTGGGTGCTGAGTTAATCTAATAAATGATTTTTGTAGTTTTCTTGTCTTTTTTCCATATATTTTGTTTAGAATAGGATTCAAGCATATTTGTTGGGAACTGTGGTATTATTGTGAACTGTGTTATTATTGTCAATGTATGTGTATCATGGCTTACATTGATTGTTTGTTCTTTGAACAGGTATTCAAAGGCAAAAAGATGCCTGGGCGCATGGGTGGTAAGCAACGAACAGTTAAAAATGTTTGGGTTTACAAAGTAGACCCTGCAAGGAACTTGATGTGGGTGAAAGGACAAGTATGGTTTTTCTTTGTCTTGTTTGTTTCCCCTTTTTAAATGTTTAAAGGAGGTGAATATAAAGGCAGGTGGATGTTCTTTATCAATGTGAATGCTTGTATCGTGGTAGTCTAAATCATTTCTAGTTTTGTCTTGATATGACCTTAGCTAACATCATTCCGCTGAAATATATTGTCAAAATTTTGCAAAATGGACCAGCACCATGAGCCAACAAAAGTCCATGCAAGTTTGCCATCTTCTTGTGTGGAACTAAACTGTGTTGATATGAAAATTAGGTACCCTCCTATTGAAATTTTAGGTCAAGCGCTTGGATGCTAACTTCATCTGGCATTCAGTCATGAAACTAGGGAATGGTTCCAAATGTTTGTTGTTAGCTCTTGCTCTTCCAAGTTGTATGTCCTTTTGATGGGGCTGCTGTTCTTTTTCAGGTTCCAGGTGCTAAGGGGAACTTTGTGTTTGTAAAAGATGCTTTTTACAAGAAACCAGATATATCATTGCTTCCATTCCCGACTTACTTTGCCCCAGAAGATGAGGACGTGACAGGGTTGGAGCCTTTGTTAGCTGATCTTGGGGATTCAGATCCCTTTATGGCAGCAGATTAATCAGAGGCTACATTGTCCATCTCTTTTTTTTTTTATTTTTTCTCTCTTTTTCTGTTTTTTTGGTTCCCCTGGCCAGTGTTTGGACGCCGCCCCTCTTTTGTATACTATTTGGCGAATAGAGATAGCTGAGAGCATTGAAGGTTACTGATTGATTGAGTAGCGGAGGTGGTCGGCTTTTTTGATTTTTGGCTATATTAGAAAAGAACAGCTGATGCAGGAATCATAATATGTTTGACTCGGGAATCATGCTAATCATGTTTTGGTATTGGATTGTGCATTAAAATAAATGTGGACAACATGAAATTTTGACGGGTTACTTTTCTTTGTTTTTTTTTCTCTCTTTCGGAAGGTTTGCCAAAATCTGTTGGGACGGTAAATGACAAGTTACTTATCGAGCATGAAGACCAAGTATTTTCCAGATTATGAAGAAGATGGTTGTTTTCCAATTTTAAGAATGGCTTCAATTGTCAAGCTGGGGAGAGGAGTTCATAGAGATGTTAGATAGTCAATTTGTGAACTTGTATAATGTGGTGGTTGTACAGGGCGTACGGGCAAGTTTATCAAAGAAGGTAGAAGGTTACATACGTTTAACACATATAATACTGTCACAAACAATCTAACCCTTGCTGTTAGGTTAGTAAAAGATGTAACACTCACAATAGGAAAGAGATTGGAAAGGGGGAAGAGACCCCAAAAACCCTCTTAGTTAGTTTAGAGGGGAGGGAGTTGGTGGCATCCATAGCATAGGAGTTGCTACATTCTTCTAACTGTATTTTTAAAAACATCTTGAGCTTCATTGGTGCTAGGTTGACAATCGAACCGATGTATTTGAACTTAGCTCGAATTCGATTTATATTGGACTCGACTTAATACGAGTTGAANGAGGCACCTACAACAGAATCCCTGATCTTGGCTTGAATTCCTTTAAAAACAGGAACCTGCAGGTTTTTAAGATTTTCAATATTCATGTTTCCCAAAGCAACACTATATAGACTTCCTNGATGTATTTGAACTTAGCTCGAATTCGATTTATATTGGACTCGACTTAATACGAGTTGAATTCAAATAATTTTTTAAGCTTATTTAAAAAATAAAATATAAAAAGTNGGTGTATTTGAACTTAGCTCGAATTCGATTTATATTGGACTCGACTTAACACGAGTTGAATTCAAATAATTTTTTAAGCTTATTTAAAAAATAAAATATAAAAAGTTTAGTTCGAATTTGTATAGTTCAACTTTTTTATATGTAAAATAGTTGAATTACTCGAGCTCTATTCAGGATCGGATTATTTTGAATTCTATTTTAATTCAGCTTATTTTCTAAACGAGTTAAAATTGAACAATTTTTTGAACTCGTTTAAAAAAATAAATTCTGGACGCTAGGTTTAAACTTGTAAAATTTGACTTTATTATTAGGCCTAATTAGTACCTACCTCCACTTATATAATATAATAATTATAATTAAAGGAATATTACAAAAATAAACATAACATTCGGAAAGATGATGATTAATTTAATAATAAAAGGACGGGGGGCGGGAAATCACACTTTCCGAAAAAAAAGGGGGGAAAAAGTAAAACCAAACTAAATAAATGTCACTTCCACTTTACTTGCAGAAACTTCCAGAATAGCTGCTCTACTCCTCCTCTCTTTGTCTTCTCGTCTTCATTCATCCCAGAGTTAGTTACCATTCCATTTCAGCACTACGCTTGTGTATTCCATCCATTTATTTATTTATTTTTATACTCTCTTTCTCCGCTTCATTCTTCTCTGCAATTCCAACTTCACAACCCCTCATTACCGGCACAAAATCCTCCATGATGTTCCCACAACTCTCTCTCAGTCTATTTCGCCACCCTAACTCGAAGCTCTCAGTCTGAATGGAATCACCCAAACCTAATGCAATGAGGACGAAGCCAGACCATCTATATCAATGTGGGGATTGTGGCACCCAAGACCCACCCTTCCTCTACAACCTACGTCACCGAGGCATCTACCGTCGAATGTGTACTTCCTGCGTCCTCAACAACAACTTGTCCTCCTTTTGCCCACTCTGTTTCGACGTCTACGATCACCACCCTCCTCCTTCTCACCTGCGTGTCATGTGCCTCCACTGCCCTTCCATTTCCCATCTTCAATGCGTTCGCTCCTCCACCACTTTTTTCAATTCTGCCTACCAATGTCCTCAATGTTCAAACCCTAACTTCACTTTTTTCAAAATTGGAGGAAAATCCAATACTACTGGTGCTACCCCTATTACTAAGAGAGTCAGAGTCAATGATGGAAAAGCAAAGCCCAGCAAAGCTCGTACGGTGATTAATGAGGATTTGGCCAAGCAATTGGTGGCTGCAGCCAGGATTGCGGCGGCGTCCATGAACAAAGCGGCGGTTGTGGCTACGGTTGAGGCTGAGAGGAGGGTTAAAGAAGCCGCGGTTGCCAGGGGCCGGGCTAAAGAAGCATTGGAGCGTGTTGCTTATTTGGTGGCAAAGGAAAAATTGGAATCTACATCAATGCCAGGACAGCACAAGGTAAAACCCCAAGTTGATACTTGTACCTTAACCAAAAGGAATCTGACTCAGAACCAAATTAGAGCAGATGAATTTGAATCGAAAAACACTGAGAAAGTAAGAGGGGGGAAGGAGGGCAACAGGCTGCATTCGGGACACTCTCGACACATGCAAAGTGGTTATGGTAGGCAAGAAGACTAATTTAGGAGCCTCGGTGATTTGAATAGAGGATGACTGGGAATGGGATATAATTTGTTGCCCTTGTGAATTTTGTGAGGTTGTTCCTTATCTTTTGCTTCTGTTTGGATGCTTGGAGAATCATGTGGAGATGATTTTGGTTAAGTCATTTGGTAATCAAAATTTGAAATTGTATGTAGGTAACTTCTGATGTGATTCTCCAAGTCCATTTCGTACTTTATATATATTTTTTTTGTATATGTTTATTTTGCTTGGTTGAATTTAATCTTTCAAGGTTCTTGGGCAATGTACTTTCTTTCCCCCAAATGGCAGCTTCCAAGTTGTTTGCTGCTTCTATTTATGTTGCGAGTTTGTGAATAAAGGCAAGGCTTGTCATTCTGTGTGGAATGTGGATTGTTTCATGCTCTGCACACTGACATGATTTTGCCCTTTTTTTGGAACTTTTTAGCAAACCAGGATAGTTAGGAAAAATTATTCCCAAACCTAGACTATTTTGATAGTATTTTCCAAATCCATGTAGTTTTTAAAAACATCGCTACAAATGATGTCTTTGGCTTGAAAACGTCAATTCAATTGATGTCTTTAAGTTAAAAAAACACATTCAGTCAAGTATAGCTTCAACATCATTTGAACTAACATTTTTAGGCTTAAAAATATCACTCCAACTGACTTTTTGACGATTTAAATCTATCAATCTCTTTTCCACCCCATTTCTGTCTTCCCCAAATTTCCTCTATCTCCTGAACCCTAACTTGCCATCTACCACTCCTCCACCAAATCCAAGACAAATCCACAACATCCACCTACTCCGGCAACCCCTCTTACAATGTATAACTTGTTTTCAGCGACCCATAACTGATGCACCACCACCAACACTCCTCCACTATGCCGATGCTCCCTCATTCTTTGCTTCCTATCAAAAAAAAGAAAAAGAAATTGAAATTGGTTTGGAATGCTTATCTAGTTGATAGTATACCTTTGCTCTTTCTTTTTTACTAGCAAATCAGAGGTTTGAACACCATATATAAGATTTGAACTTCTCTTTTTTAAGTTTACCTTGTAGGTTTATGGAAGACAACGCAATACCAGCAACGAGAAGACAAGGAACCAGGATTATGCCTATCTCTCTTACCTTCTCTCTGCCTTGAACCTCTGCCCTGGGCCTTAGATTTTCACACTCAATACACAAAGGCATTACCATTTTACCAGTTGATTGCTTACTTTCATCTCTCTCTTTCTTCACCTCGTAGTCCCCATAGCGAATATTATGCCTCTCTTCTCCTCTAGCTTTAGATTCACTAGTTTTTTTCCCAAGTTTATTTTTACAGGCAGTAGGGAAAAGGTGATAAAATATTGGTTGACAGGTAGGTACACCGAGGAAATAGCTAGTAGAGTTACTTGTGGATACCAGCCGAAAAGGTATAACATTTTGTATAACACTGTTTATAAAAGGAGCTACCACCTATTGCACTGGTACCGTCATTGTAAAGAACTACGTAGGTGGCCTCAAACTCAGAAGGAAATTAATTGGCCAATCTGGAAGAATAGATTCCAATTTGTTGCTGAAACAAAGAATACAGACCTGCAAGGCAAACCTGCATTAGAGCATCTCCAANACTGTTTATAAAAGGAGCTACCACCTATTGCACTGGTACCGTCATTGTAAAGAACTACATAGGTGGCCTCAAACTCAGAAGGAAATTAATTGGCCAATCTGGAAGAACAGATTCCAATTTATTGCTGAAACAAAGAATACAGACCTGCAAGGCAAACCTGCATTAGAGCATCTCCAACGCGATAGCTAAACTCAGCTTGTTAGCTATTTTGGATAGCCACTCCATAAATTTTGGCTCCAACCAATTATCTATCACACTAGTTATTACCCATTTTCCTATTCTGGCTCGCTGGATCTGGTGAGACAAAAAAGCCTAGCTATTTGGGTTCTATCTTCAACGGAGGTGGGTTCTCTCTTCACGTTGGCTTTGAAGACTTCACCATCTTAATAGGCTCTCTCTATCTCTCTCGATTTCACCATCTGAAGACTCTCATCATCTGAAGCGNACAAATTTTGGCTCCAACCAATTATCTATCACACTAGTTATTACCTATTTTCCTATTCTGGCTCGCTGGATCTGGCGAGACAAAAAAGCCTAGCTATTTGGGTTCTATCTTCAACGGAGGTGGGTTCTCTCTTCACGTTGGCTTTGAAGACTTCACCATCTTAATAGGCTCTCTCTATCTCTCTCGATTTCACCATCTGAAGACTCTCATCATCTGAAGCGCGTTCAATTGAGGTAATTTTCACCATCATACATCAGTTTTGTGAGGTTTTGCTCAGTGGGTTTTTAATTTTGAAAATAAGTTTTGGAGATCGAGAGAGTTTGTGGTGATGAGTATGAATTTTGGAAATGGGTTTTGAAGATTTATGAGATGAGTTTTTGATTATTTGNATGACTCTCATCATCTGAAGCGCGTTCAATTGAAGTAATTTTCACCATCATACATCAGTTTTGTGAGGTTTTTCTCAGTGGGTTTTTAATTTTGAAAATAAGTTTTGGAGATCGAGAGAGTTTGTGGTGATGAGTATGAATTTTGGAAATGGGTTTTGAAGATTTATGAGATGAGTTTTTGATTATTTGAAGTGGGTTTGTGAGATGGAGAGACTTTGATCTCCCAAATGCATAAGCAGAGGAAAAGAGGCTAATGCATCACCTTGCCATGTATTTGGCATGTTCGGCCTCATCCCAAGCTGTTGCTCAGGTTTCCAGAGGTTCACCTTTGTACCTTGATCTGAGTTCTTGCTCTCAAGCATATTGTTGACATTGAACTCTTCTCTGTTTTTGATAAAAGATGGACTCTTATTTTATGATATTTATTTTTTTAGCCTATCTTTTATGATATTTACTCTTGTAGTTCATAATTGATTAAATTTATACAATGTATAGTTGAATTATTATTTTTTGAATTTTATTATTAAAAATTAGTTAAAGTTAGTTGAAGTCGTTAGTTAAAATAGATAGTGTGATTGAAGTGAATTGGAAAAAGTGGTTAGTTAAAGTAGATAATACATTATTTAATATATATTTAAATAACTANACAGTTGAATTATTATTTTTTGAATTTTATTATTAAAAATTAGTTAAAGTTAGTTGAAGTGGTTAGTTAAAATAGATAGTGTGATTGAAGTGAATTGAAAAAAGTGGTTAGTTAAAGTAGATAATACATTATTTAATATATATTTAAATAACTATTTTAAATAACATGGTTGGAGATGCTCTTACAAAGAATTGTATTGGNTATAATGTCCACTACCATCCTTTGCGACCACTGCATTAGGGTTCACTTGACCATTGTTGGTCACTAATAGTTTCCTGTCTGCAGCCGAAAACCATGCAGGGTAACCATCGTTGTCAACTTCAGATGTATCAAGAAGTCTCCGAGAACTTGCAGTCGTATTCACTGGAATGTTGAATGCACTTAAAATTTGAGAAATGGCGGAAACAATGGCCAAGGCATTGTCTGTAAGTTGAGTGGCATTAAGAAGGCCATCTGATATTGCACTCTTGAGTTCAGGTTGAGTGAAACCGTCAATACACGATTGTTGGTATGAAATGACAGCACTGAGCCAATTTTTGAGCTCAGCTTCTCTGTCACCTATGGTGTGCAAGTTACTATCACCCACCATTGAAAAGGAGGCTTGGAGCTCGTCTATGGCAAATTGCAACAAATCCTTGCAATCCTCAACAGCCATTTTTTGCAGAGGATCATTGGCTGCTTTCCCAATTGTCCCAGTTTTTTCTACTGCAGCTTTCACCTCTTGGATGGTGACCTGAATGGCAGCCTCGATGAAGTCCTTAGGGGTGGCGCTTTGGTTATTGGCAACAGCATCAAGGCTATTAACACATGCCCGCTTATAATCGGTTTGGGAACAAATAGAAGCAACGGCCTTTGAAGTTGTGGACAGCACGTCGCTGTCATCATCATTTGATGAGTTGTGGTGGACTACCCCGGCAATAAGACCAATAACTACACCTACGACAAGTATTCCAGAGACTCCGAAGACAAAAAGCTTGCCTCCTTTCATGTTGACTACTCTCGCTGCTTAATTTCACGCCTGTTTGTTTGAGTCTGATGGATTAAAAATGCTGTTTGTCATAAAGCCGTGAAACTTGATGATGATTCCCAGAGGTTGGGATGGAGAGAATCCCGTTTGACTGAAGAGGAAGAAGCTCTTATAGACATGCATGGCTGCCCTGGAATNTAGATTAAAAATGCTGTTTGTCATAAAGCCGTGAAACTTGATGATGATTCCCAGAGGTTGGGATGGAGAGAGTCCCGTTTGACTGAAGAGGAAGAAGCTCTTATAGACATGCATGGCTGCCCTGGAATTAAGGGTGACTTAATCTTTATTGGATTAAAACGGACGTACGCCAGGTTTAGTAACCTTGCTTTGCTGTTGTGTTGTGTGGCTAAAAGTTAAAGCAAAATGGCAAGCAATTGTCCTCCAACGGCAACAGCAGAGGTTTGAGGATTGATTGATGGCCCGCAGTTGTAGGAAGTTATTAGTACTAAATCCTCTCCAACCTCAATTTCTCCCAAATCTTGCCTATTTTTAAGCTTATACAGGCATACATACATTGGCCTTGGTGCAAATTGCTACAAAGTTTGAAACGATTTCTACAAAGTTTGAACCTCATCCTTTCGTCAAATTCCAATTCCAACCTCCTTAATGATTAAAATTTTATTTTGCTGCATTGTTTTAGTCACCTAAAAAACGAAAATATGTCCGATGTATTTTGAAAATGTTTCGATTCGTCTTAAAANCAAAGTTTGAACCTCATCCTTTCGTCAAATTCCAATTCCAACCTCCTTAATGATTAAAATTTTATTTTGCTGCATTGTTTTAGTCAACTAAAAAACGAAAATATGTCCGATGTATTTTGAAAATGTTTCGATTCGTCTTAAAAATAAAATGAAAAAAAATAAAAAATTTAAAAATTAATTTTTCTAANTGAGTCAATGCCAGAAAAAAACTCTGCTGTTTGGAATGCTATTATAGCAGCTCATGTCCAGAGCAATCGTTTTCATGAGGCGTTCACTTTGTTTGATCGGATGCGATCAGAGGGTGTGATGCTGGATAAATTTGTGGCAGCTAGTATGTTATCAGCTTGTACGGGATTNAATAATTCGTTTCGGTCTCCCTAAAAATGAAAATGATTCGATCGATTTGAAACGAAATTTTGATCTCTGACGATAGTGTAACATATTTTGATATTTTTTTGAGATTATATATTTGGAGAAAATNACTAATTCGTTTCGGTCTCCCTAAAAATGAAAATGATTCGATCGATTTGAAACGAAATTTTGATCTTTGACGATAGTGTAACATATTTTGATATTTTTTTGAGATTATATATTTGGAGAAAATTTTGATGCTCTTATTTTTAAAAATAATTATTATTTGATATAGCGGGATCAATTTTTTTGGTGTTTGAATTTTATGTTGTATGGTGCTTTATTATTATGTATTATGAAAATATCCAAAGAGGATGATGTGAACTGATGGCCACGGTTAAGCTACTTCAGGCCACTCCATCCTCTCTAGTCTCACCCAAGACCGATTGCACCCCTTTGCGCGGCCTCGAATGCTGCTCAGCTATGGCCGAGCTCAAACAATATCATTCCCAAATCATTCGACTTGGCCTCTTGTCTGATAACAATGCCATGGGTCGAGTCATCAAGTTCTGTGCTCTATCGGAATCTGGTAACTTAAGCTATGCCCTCAAAGTATTTGACACAATACCCCACCCAGATGCATTTATCTACAATACCATCATTCGAGGTTACTTGCAATCCCAATTCACCACAAGTTGCATTCTTTTTTATGCCCAAATGTTACAAGACTCGGTTACACCCAACAATTTTACTTTCCCCCCTGTTATAAGAGCTTGTTGTGTCGATAATGCTGTTGAAGAAGGCAAACAAGTACATGCTCATGTTATTAAATTCGGATTTGGATCAGATGGGTTTTCCCAGAACAATTTGATTCACATGTACGTGAATTTTCAGTGTTTGGACGAAGCAAAGAGGGTCTTTGATAAGATGTGCCGTGCGGATGCTGTCGCTTGGACCACCTTGATTAGTGGTTTTTCTCAATGGGGATATGTCGATGAAGCTTTTCAAGTTTTTCAGTCAATGCCAGAAAAAAACTCTGCTGTTTGGAATGCTATTATAGCAGCTCATGTCCAGAGCAATCGTTTTCACGAGGCGTTCACTTTGTTTGATAGGATGCGATCAGAGGGTGTGATGCTGGATAAATTTGTGGCAGCTAGTATGTTATCAGCTTGTACGGGATTAGGAGCTCTCGAACAAGGAAAGTGGATACATAGTCATATTGAGAAAAGTGGGATTGAAGTGGACTCAAAACTTGCAACAACAATAATTGATATGTATTGTAAATGTGGTTGCTTGGATAAGGCATTGGAGGCCTTTAATGAATTTCCCAGTAAAGGAATTTCATCTTGGAATTGCATGATTGGGGGGCTTGCAATGCATGGGAAAGGTGAGGCTGCCATTGAGCTCTTCAAAGATATGGAGAGAGCGGCAGTAACTCCTGACTACGTCACATTTGTGAATGTGCTTAGTGCATGCGCTCATTCAGGGTTAGTAGAAGAAGGGCGTCATTACTTCCACTACATGACTGAAGTTTACAGCATTGAGCCTGGAATGGAGCATTTTGGATGCATGGTTGATTTGCTTGGCAGAGCTGGAATGCTGGTGGAAGCAAGAAAGCTTATAAGTGAGATGCCCATGAGTCCTGATGTAGGTGTATTGGGTGCTCTTCTTGGAGCTTGTAGAATTCATGGGAACATTGAGCTGGGAGAGGAAATAGGGAAGAATGTAATTGAACTAGAGCCTCACAACAGTGGGCGCTATGTATTATTAGCTAATATGTATGCCAATGCTGGTAGATGGGATGATGTTGCTAATGTGAGAAAATTAATGAATGACAGGGGAGTGAAGAAGGCTCCTGGGTTTTCTGTGATTGAAATGGAAGGTGCTGTTAACGAGTTCATTGCAGGAGGAAGGGGTCATCCTGAAGCCAAAGAGATCTATGCGAAAGTTAATGAGATGCTGGATAGTATTAGATCCATTGGGTATGTGGCTGACAGTGGTGGATTGGTGCATGACATTTATGATGAGGAAAGGGAGAACCTCTTACATCACCATAGTGAGAAACTGGCTATTGCATTCGGATTATTGAAGTCTAGATCCGGGGAAACTCTTCGTATTACAAAGAACCTGCGAATGTGTNGCCTGACAGTGGTGGATTGGTGCATGACATTTATGATGAGGAAAGGGAGAACCTCTTACATCACCATAGTGAGAAACTGGCTATTGCGTTCGGAATATTGAAGTCTAGATCCGGGGAAACTCTTCGTATTACAAAGAACCTGCGAATGTGTAAGGACTGTCACGAAGCTAGCAAGTTGATCTCAAAGGTTTATGATCGAGAGATAATTGTAAGGGATAGGAATCGGTTCCACCATTTTAAAGCGGGCAAGTGTTCGTGTAATGATTACTGGTAAGAGCAATGCTATATGGACTTAAAAATTAGATTCAAAAATTAAACTTGATAATTTTAACAATTGATTTTATTGTGGGTCCAAACTTTTATTAAGACCAACTACCTATTCAATGGTTAAGATTATCAAATCTAATTTTTAAGTCTATCTAACATTACTCTACTTTTTAATCTAAGCCTTAACTCCNGAATTTAAAAATTAGACTTGATAATTTTAACAATTGATTTCATTGTGGGTCCCAACTTTTATTGAGACCCACTACCTATTCAATGGTTAAGATTATCAAGTCTAATTTTTAAGTCTATCTAACATTACTCTACTTTTTAATCTAAGCCTTAACTCCCATTCCTAGAAATCTTAATCAGGCAACTGCTCAGTGGGTAGCAATTTCCCTTTCGCTCCCTAGAGGCTGGGGATGATGTATTCCCATTGAGTTTAGTAATATCTTGCTACTAAAGGACTGTAATACACAGTTGAATGAAATACAATATTTTCCAAAAAAAGAAAAGAAAAATCAGCTGCTAGAGTCACAATGGAGTCTCTTCCCCTTTCTCGGAGAGCTTTTGACTCGTATCGAGGCTTTCTAAAATAAATTCCCCAGCTAAGGGTTAGTTTGAAAATAATTTTTAAATTCAGGAAATTTTAAAAACATCATTTGATCTGATATTTTTAAGCCAAAAAATATCAGTTGATCTGACGTTTTTAACTTAAAAATGTTAGACCTAATGACATTTTTAAGCTTGTTCTATGGCCGGTATGTAGTTTAAAGACATCAGACCAATTGACATTACCAAGTAAAAACATCAATTGCACTGACGTGTTTAACAACTCAAACCTGCTGATCCCATTTTTCCCTCCTCTCTTGTTTCCTTTCCTTATTTTCTCTTCTCCCCCCCGAAATCCCATTTGAGCCCTAACTCACTCAAGCAAATCACCACCATCACAATAGACACGCAGAACCACCACCATCGTAGAACCGCTACCATCGCAGAACCACCACCATTGCAGCACCACCCACCACCATGCAGAACCACCCAACGCCACCCACTACCACCCAGCCCCACCCATCGGTCCTGCGAGTGTGATGTTTTTGCTGAAATTGCAGTGATTATTTATGGAGTTCCTTCGTCGTCTTATTCTGTGTCGTTTGAGTCTGAGAACTGTTTGATATGTTTGGCAGAATTTATGTGTGGGGAGGTTGTTAGGGTTTTGCCGAGGTGGAAGCACATGTTTCATAGAGAGTTTATTGATCAGTGGATGCCATTAAGGTCTTCTTGTTGTCCTGTTTGTAGAGGCCCAACAATTTTTTGGGTGGTTATTTAATATTTGTTTATTTTTTGGTTAGGTTTTTATTTATTTATTTTTGTGTGTGTGTGTTTTTTTTGGGGGGGGGGTGTTAGTGGTTAGTTCACAGTTTTGGGGCCAATTATGTTTTGTTTCATTCACTTGATTATGAAGAGATTTATGTCATCACAAAATTTTGAAAATAGAATTGCGGGCTTGCAGCTTGCTATTTATTTACAACATTCTATACTTAACCTATTTTTTTGCTTCTACCCCAATGTCCTGTAATGTTGCTGAGGCTGAAAGCAGTTCAAATGATCCACAACAAACTACATTTCTGAGAGTTCTTTTTTTTCCATAACAAGGCAACGTTACGTTGGATTCATCCTTGTACAGTAAATCTTAGATACTTTCCATCACTGTTAATTATAAATAGTGCTTAAACACGAGAATACCCAAAAAAAATTGAACTTATGACATCCAAATTTATGGTTGATCTCAAGTCCCAACTTCACAACACTAGGCTATTATGAGAGTTCTTGTCAGTTGGCAATATAGCCATGGGACTTTTTGAGCTACTAATGTTATTGATGACTGTTTTTTTCAGCAAATGCTCCAACTTACACTATTGGCAGCCAAATAATAGAGTGAAAAAAATTTATCTTTTATGGAGAACAGGGGAAAAACAGATTACAAGTTGTCCATTACAACACAAATGTGTTACCAGATTCAAAGTTTTCATTCTCCNCTGCCAAATAATAGAGTGAAAAAAATTTATCTTTTATGGAGAACAGGGGAAAAACAGACTACAAGTTGTCCATTACAACACAAATGTGTTACCAGATTCAAAGTTTTCATTCTCCTCCGTGTCCTTTGAGCAATCAAAGAGTTATGTTTATTTCTTGACAGGGAAGCAGAGGTAGGCTAATCAAGCTGAGATCTGTTGAACTTATCATTGTACACTTTTGTTTCATCCTTTGTTCAGCAATCCCGTTCAGGTTTACTTTGCTTCGTGTAATAGATTAAGCGATCATTCATGAATCTTTATCCCTCACTGCTTCTCCGAAACAATTTCCAACTATATTCTTTTCGCGGGACTCTCTGAAGACACTCATTCTCAAGTGACTAGCCCCATTGAAAAGGCCTATTGGTTGATCTAACAAGTTGAATCATTTAACAGATTAAGGTAAGGGTGTCTGTATAATCTAAGCTTGGTCCATTCAATTTTGATGGAAGGCAAAATGCGAACTAACACTGGAACATAAAGTGGGGAGGGTCAATCCTCACACCAACACTGGAACATAAAGTGGCTTGTTATCGAACGACGATCAAACTGAATTGATGAGGTCGTGGTCTGAAAATGTGACCGTTCTGTTCGGTATACCCAAGTTTTCTCTAGTCCATGATAGGCATCCAATATAGGTATGCCATGTGGCCGAAAAATGTGAATCATTCTAGAACAAGTGATTCCTTTCGAAATCGTCCATTAATTCATATTCGTACGGGGCCAAAACAGATTGATGGTTCCTCAATAATTCATATTTGAGGCATTCCATCCCCCTCAAATGTTTTCTCCTCTGGCTTACATTACATAAAAGATTGATGGTTCCTTGGCTAGATCCAAAATATGGATTTGATATCTCGAGCATAAACTGAGCCTTCAATCAATTTGAACCTACAAGCACATGTGACCAAAATAGTAAAAAATATGACCAGAGAATCAAAGAACCAACCATGTTGAAGTTTAACAATAATCATTTCCTTTCAACTTAACAATGCCTCATCTTCCTTTCTCAAGCGAAATTGTTACTCTTCCTTTCTAATATCTAAACCAAATTGTTAAGAGGAAAGTGAACAACTTAGAAGAAGCGCCTACACAAATTTCACATAGAAGAAGCGACTTGAAAGATCCACATCTGGAAGCATTCCAATCTCTTGCTTTATTACTTCATGACAGCCAACAACTTGAACTGCTACACCAATAAATTTTTTGAATAATGCTGTTACGAGCAATATCAAGAGCTATGGCTGAATTTATGGCCAGACAATTTCTTAGACTCATACAATATGTGGTTTATGAATCCCCTCGCCGCACTGCAAACCCGTAAAACATACAAATTAGAATTTCAAAAATACTTTTGTGAACTCGAGATANAAATTTTGAATAATGCTGTTACGAGCAATATCAAGAGCTATGGCTGAATTTACGGCCAGACAATTTCTTAGACTCATACAATATGTGGTTTATGAATCCCCTCGCCGCACTGCAAACCCGTAAAACATACAAATTAGAATTTCAAAAATACTTTTGTGATCTCGAGATACAGTGCACTTAACACACATAAATTGGTTCTCTTACAGTGCACTGAAATTGATCATCAATTGTTAAATTGAAATAATGCTTTTGTCATGAAGATCTACGGAAAAAGAAAAAAATCATTAGACAATTAATTTATTTTTTTTGAAATTTATAAAATAGTATAATTAAATTATAACTTCCGCAATNAACTCGAGATACAGTGCACTTAACACACATAAATTGGTTCTCTTACAGTGCACTGAAATTGATCATCAATCGTTAAACTGAAATAATGCTTTTGTCATGAAGATCTACGGAAAAAGAAAAAAATCATTAGACAATTAATTTATTTTTTTTGAAATTTATAAAATAGTATAATTAAATTATAACTTCCGCAATTTTAAGGAATTACTGTAATAAATTTTAATGATTTGTATATAAAATTTAGAACACCTAAATTACGAGGTTTAAAACATACATGTATGAGACATTATACTCGATCTCCGAATTTCTTTTTTGAAAGAGTAAGGTCTTCCTCTCTTTTTTCAAAGCAATAGATAGTTCTTAATGGGACAAGCCAAATTAGGGTTATGAAGTGGAGAGTGGATCTAGCTTGCAATTTATAAAGAAATCTAATGGGCTCTTCCATTACGGACCACAATTAAATTAAGACATACACTTAACCGCCTCAACCACATCAATTAAAAGATGTACATAAGCTTATCAAAATAGATCACTTAATAATATTTGGCTCATCTTATTAGACCATAAATTCGGCCCATTTTTCACAAACTAAAATTAACTATCAATTAATGACAGTCCAATATAAGAAAAAATTTAACATTCTCCCACTTTGACAACATTAATTGTAGTCATTTAGAAATAAAAAAAAATTATATGTATATATTTGAAAACGACTATCAGGCTAATCAAACAAAACTCAATGTGGCCACAATAAAAAATAATATGGTCTTGAGACAACATTTCAAACACAAACCGGTCCAATAAAACTACTATTTTCGAACCATGGCGGCTTTTACATCTTTTATTGACATATGACCAATCCATGATTACAAAAAATAATAATTCTATTGACATGGATCAAGTTGTGATAGTGTAGCAAAAAAATAATATCTCAATATGTGATATAATAAACATGTTATTTTTATTGTCAGTTCACCAAATAATTTCTCTTTAACAACATGTTTAAACAATAAGCTAGAGAAATCCATTAACTTCAACAATAAGCTAGTATGTCTCCAAACTTAAAATCATAAGATTTTCTCAAATGGTGTAATCAGAGACATACTCAATTGACAAAACAGTCATACTTAAGACATACACCAAGTCTTAAGATTTTGTATAAAATGACATGTCATAAATGTGTACACATATAACATAGCAAGAATATTATGCTAACAATAAACATAATCATCAAATATTTATTATTCATTAAATAAAAGTATTTCAACCATAATGAGTATCAAATATCACACATGGAATTAAATCAACATTAAAGTTTAACACATAAAAAAAACTCCCACTAACCAAGTACATCAAAAGACCCCAAAATACTCATGTTGTCAACATGTTTTTTAAAAGTTACAGGTCTCAGTCCCTTGGTTAAAGGATCAACAAGCATTGATTCTATATCAATATGTTCAATCACAATGTCACCTTTCTTCACAAGATACCTAATAGAAAAATATTTAATTTTCATATGTTTAGACCCACTAAAATGTTTGTTATTTTTTGAGAAGAACACAACTGCACTATTATCACAATAAATTGTTAGTGGTCTAGAGATGGAAACAACAATCATAACTCTTGAAATAAAATTTCTTAGTCATATAGCTTGTGTTGCAGCTCCATAACAAGCGACAAATTCAGCTTGCATAGTGGAAGAGGCTGTGAAAGTTTGTTTAACACTTTTCCATGATATTGCTCCTCTAGCTAACATGAAAATATATCCTTAAGTGAATTTTAAATCATCCTGACACCCAACAAAATCTAAATCTGAATAACCAATCACTTCAAGACTATCAACTCTCCTATAAACAAAACATGTAATTTTTTGTTATTTGCAAGTATCTCATAACTTTCTCAACTGCCACCCAATGATCTAATCTTGGTTTGAAAAGATATCTGCCTAGAATACTAACTGTAAAAGCAATGCTAGGCCTAGTACAAACATGTACATACATTAAACAGTCAACGACACTCGCATAAGGTATACTCGTCATAGACTCCTCCTCAAGATCATTCTTGGGGCATTGACTTAAATTGAATTTATCACCTTTCACAATAGGTACATCCCTAATTTATGATTATGCATATTAAATCTTTCAAGCACACGATTTATATATGCCCTTTGAGAAAGTTTCNATGCCTAGTACAAACCTGTACATACATTAAACATTCAACGACACTCGCATAAGGTATACTCGTCATAGACTCCTCCTCAAGATCATTCTTGGGGCATTGACTTAAATTGAATTTATCACCTTTCACAATAGGTACATCCCTAATTTATGATTATGCATATTAAATCTTTCAAGCACACGATTTATATATGCCCTTTGAGAAAGTTTCAATAATCCACAACTCCTATCTCGATGAATCTGAATGCCTAACACAAAAGATGCTTCCCCAAGATCTTTTATGTCAAATATTTTGCACAATAATTGCTTATTCTCATGAAGTAAGCTCAAATCATTACTTA